CCCAGCTAATGTTTTGTATTTTTAATAGAGATGGGGTTTCACCATGTTGACCAGGATGGTCTCGATCTCTTGACCCCGTGATCCACCCGCCTCGGCCTCCCAAAGTGCTGGGATTACAGGCTTTAGCCACCGCGCCCGGCCCTTAATTTTGTATTTTTAGTAGAGACAGGGTGGTCTCTACCGTGTTAGCCAGGATGGTCTTGAACTCCTGAGCTCAGGTGATCCACCCACCTCCGGCTCCCAAAGTGCTGGGATTACAGGAGTGAGCCACTGAGCCCAGCCACTTGTTAGTTTTCTAAGAGATGGAGTCTTGCTCTTTCACCCAGGCTGCAGTGCAGTGGCATGACCTTGGCACACTGCAGCCTTCACCTCCTGGGTTCAAACAATTCTCCTGCTTCAGCCTCTGGAGTAGCTGGGATTACAGGCACCTGCCATTACACCAGCTAATTTTTGTATTTTTAGTAGAGATAGTGTTTCACCATGTTGGCGAAGCTGGCCTCAAACTCCTGACCTCAAGTGATCCACCCACCTTGGCCTCCCAAAATACTGTGATTACAAGGCGTGAGCCACTGTGCCCGGCCAGAAATGGGGTCTTGCTGTATTCTCCAGGCTGTTCTCAAATTCCTGGCCTGAAGGGAACCTATATTTCAGCCTCCAACATTGGTACCACAGGCCTACACCAGCGCGCTCGGTCCACATTTGCTCATTGTCTCCTGGGTTGTCCCTCCCACGAGGTCCAGCTTGTGCGCTTGCTTAGGCACTTACAGGCCATCTTCCTCCCTCCCACTCCCCACTGCAGCCTGCAGCAATTTAGTTTAGCAGTTTAGTAAACTGCAGTTCCTGTTTACTTCCCAGGTGTTGGGATGAGCCAGGTGGCTGTGAAGCCAGCTGGGTTAGGGAGAGACATTTAGGACAAGTGGTTGTGACAATGGCCAGGAGCTATTCAGGATGCCATGATAGAAAACAGAATAGGAGCCATCAACAGGAAGAAGAGGGGTCAATATCAGATGGAAAATCAAGCCCCCATGCTGGTCCTAAGGTGCCAGGCTCCCTGGGAGATGGAGGTGCCTGGAGGTTAGATGTTGGGCATCTGAATACCTTGGGTTGTACATGGGGAAAAAAAGGACTGGGTATCATGGAAATGCTAGACCAGTGGTTTAGACCAGTCAGTTCATTTTATTTATTTTTTGAGACAGAATCTCGCCTTGTCATCCAGGCTGGAGTGCAATGGTGCAATCTCAGCTCACTTCAACCTCCACCTCTCGGGTTCAAGTGATTCTCCTGCCTTACCTTCCCAAGTAGCTGGAATTACAGGTGCGCACTTCTATGCCTGGCTAATTTTTTGAATCTATAGTAGAGACAGGGATTCACCATGTTGGCCAGGCTGGTTTCAAACTCCTGACCTCGTGATATCCATCTGCCTCAGCCTCCCAAAGTGCTAAGATTAAAGGCGTGAGCCACCATGCCTGGCCAATCAGTCAGTTTAGACTTTTGTTCCATGCGTGCACACACATACATACACACACACAGACACAAACACACACTCTTCCGTGTCCCACAGACCTCAGGAAAGGAATCTTCAGCTGTAGCAGCCCAGGTCCTGGACTCAGCAGGGTCTTCAGCCAGCTCCTCTGACAGGTCTGGAATCAGGACAGTTTGGTTTCGCTGGAAGATGAACAGCTCCTCTTCCCCACAGTCCGACTGTGGACAAATGAGAGGGCTTTTTGGAGGACATGGGAGCAGGCAGAGCCCTGAGGGCCCAACTGCTCTCCACTGTCAGTTCCAGCCCAGCCCACCCAGCCCTGCTGCTCAGGAGCCTCGGGGAGATCCAGTTCTTTCCCAGTCATTTTTGCTACTCATGGCTTCTTGCCACTGTTTAGAAATTGGCCCGGCAGCACCACCTCGTGGAGATTGGGGCTCCTGGTTCTGTAAGTGTCTCACATACAGCAGGCACTTCATTAATGCCTTGTGTGACATGAACAGGGCAGTGAGGTGGTAGCTGAAAGAGCCAAGTACAGCCCTCCCTGTCCCCTGTGACGCTGAGCCGTCACATACAGCTTGGTTTGTGCTCTTAAAGGGGGTGTGGCTCATACTCTCAAATGAGACTGAAGATGTGAAAACGCCCTGAGCACTGAGGCGTGGGGTGTCCTTAGGTACTCCTTAGCCTCACCATGCACTGGATGACGTCCAAAATCCCAGAAGCTCTGTTGCTGGTGCCCAGGTAGGACCCAAACCAGCCTATTCCTTTTAAAACCCTTGCACTGTCTCTCAATGCCCAGTGCCACCCTGTGCACTGAGGAGCCCCTGCCTGGAGCATCTTCAGCAGGGTCTTACACCTGCACTCATGGCTATTGGTCTGAGTGTCTTTGAGGGCCATTTCAGGGACCCCATACCACAACTGCAGAATCCCTCAAAGGCTTATCGTAATGCATGGAACGGTACCCATTCTCGGTGGGTTTTCTGGCCCTGTCCTGGCCAAAGAGAGACTGGAGAACAGCAAAAAGGAAAGGACAGAGCCTCTGCCTCAAGCCAATCTGTGTTCCACATGAGGGTCAGAAATCCCACCGAAAGGGTCTCCCAAGATGCTGAGCACCAATACTTGTGCTCAGAGATGATTATTAAGGCAGAGGAAAGGGTATAGAAGGAAATAGGCACCCAGAAAACAAACAATGAGTATGGCCATGTAATTCAAAGTAAAATGACAACAAACTCCACAGGTCAGCGGAAGTCTTCAGAGAAGCGCTCCAAAGCTGTCCTGGTCAGTGTCATGCCTGCTCTGTTAGGAAGGAAAAGGCAACCAGGGAGAAAGCTTTTTGCTTACCAAGGAGGAGTCGGAGTCCAGAGATGGCAGCTGGTCTTTGACAGCCTTGAGGATGGCATCCCATGGCCCCATCTGGGAGGCCGAGGGAGAGCCCAGCGAGGGTGCCATACGTTCGTCGTTGGATGCCATGAGGGCCCAGGCTTCCAGATGCCTTCTCAGTACACCATCATCCGAGGAGCTTGTGGGGCACGTGGAGTGACACAACAGGGTCTGGGCCACTGAAGGTCAGAAGAGTGGGGGCTGCCCTACCAGCTGTAGGAGACCAAACAGGCTGGCAGGCATCACCTCCTGGCAGTTTCTTTCTGGTTATGCAAACTCCTGTTGCTGGCACCGTGTGTGTGTGTGTGTGTGTGTGTGTGTGTGTGTGTGTGTGTGTCCACTCACGCATGCAGGTATGTGTGAAGCCTGCAGGTGTATCATGTATATAGTGATATACACATTATATACAGATATATGTGTATATGTAGATGTATAATACATAAAATGCCATATGTGTATGATATATAGGTATATTTTATATATACTCCATATAGCATAACTATTATCTTCATTTCATAGGCTTAGGGTGTTTAGTAAATAGCAGGAGTGGACTCTGAATTGGGAAATTTCAATTCTTATTAACCTATACTACCTTTTATCAAGGAACAGAAGAGAGACACTTTGCTTTTTTTTATTTTGGAGGCAGGGTCTGGCTTTGTTGCCCAGGCTGGAGTGGAGTGGTATAATGATAGCTCACTGAAGACTAGACCTCCTGAGCTCAAGTGATCCTCCCACCTCAGCCTCCTGAATAGCTGGGACTACAGGTGTGCACCACCACAACTGGCTAGTATTTTTATTTTTTGTAGAGATGCAGTTTCTCTGTTGCCCAGGCTGTTCTCAAATTCCTGGCCTCAAGTGATCCTCTTGCCTCAGCCTCCCAAAGTGCTGGGATTACAAGCATGTGCTACTGTGCCTGGTTGACACTTTGGAGTCACCGATATATTTATAATTTTAATATATATATATATATTTTTTTTTTTTTCAGTCGCCCCTCTGACCAGCCCCTGCGTTTGAATCTTTTATTTATTTTTATTTTTAAGAGACGGGGTCTCGCTATGTTGCCCAGGCTGGAGTGCAGTGGCTATTCACAGGCACGATCCTACTACTGATCAGAACGGGAGTTTTGACCTGCTCCGTTTCCGACCTGGGCCGGTTCACCCCTCCTTAGGCAACCTGGTGGTCCCCCACTCCTGGGAGGTCACCATATTGATGCCAAACTTAGTGCGGATACCCGATCGGCATAGCGCACTACAGCCCAGAACTCTTGGGCTCAAGCGATCCTCCCTCCTCAGCCTCCAGAGTAGCTGGGACTACAGGCACGCGCCACCATGCCCGGCTGTATCTTAATCTAAAAGGAGACGGTCCTGTTTTTCAGGAGGCTGGAGAGCTTGAGAGCTGGGGGATGAGGTCCTCTAGAGCCAGTGTCAGGAGAACCCTAAAGCTCAAGAGGCTGCTGTGACTTTGGCCTTGCAGTCAGTGCCTTAAACCCCAATCAAGACAGCGGCAGGAGGTGTGAACTGGGGGCTGCTTGCTTCCTCTGTGCTTCTGGGACCAGGGCAGGTGCTGTGAACTGGGAGCAGCAAGTTGGGGACGCAGCTGGTGCACACCCAGCGGGGGTTTTTTGTAACTAGGGCTCTGTTCCGCAATTCAGAGCACAGTATTTCTTAGGGCAACAGAAATGCCGAAGAGAGCCTCCATAGACTCCGATAAACTCTTCAGGCAGACCCAACAACAGGGGAGGGAACGGCATTACCGTCCAACAGGTTTGAGGGAATTGTCAGTTGCTGGAATCTGCGGTGAAAACGGACCAGACAATGCAGGGCCATGAACGCCAAGTTGAGGAGCTCAGCGCATTCAGCAAGCAAAGGGGGAGGCCTGGAGCCGCCTCTGAATAGCGGCCTTCCGGCTCCGTCTCGGGGTTGGTTTCTCAGCTTCAGCCCGTTAGCCCCGCCGCCAGCCCCGCCCCGGTCCCCAGAGCCCCGCCCCCGGCCCGCCTGCCATGAGACTGCCGGTTGTTATGGCAACCAGACGCCAACAGCCTCCCGGGTCGAGATTTTAAATTTTAAAGCTGTGGAAGTAGAAAGTTCGTCGCTTCGCGTCTCACCCACCCCCAGCCCGTGTTTCCCCATGTTTTGTTCAACTCCCTGTAGCCGCAGCAGGTCCGAGGCCCCTCACCTCAGGCCTCTCACTCCACTCCCTGCGCGGTCCTGGCACGGCCGTAAACAGCCTTCAGCGAATCACTCCGGTCGCCTCCGCCCCACGAGCCGTGCTGCAGTTATAGCGGCTGTTCCGTTCTTCTGAAGTCTCCCTCTCAGCAGAGCATTACATTATTGGACTGTCCCCACATTCCCCCCGCCCCTCTTTCGGGCCTTTGCGCGTCCAGCCTCTCCTGCAACAGGATTGGTTTCCCTGGCCAGGGCAGGGGCGGGGCAGGACAAACACACCTTGCTCATTGGCTGCCGCGGGTGTCCTACAACGAGCCGGGAGCTGACCGGAAGGTCCGGATGCGGAACGTGCTCATTCCACTGGGCCCACGAGCTGCCCCGGCGTGGACCCGCGAGCTTCCTGACGCGCTCCACGCCCAACCGCAACTACTTCCGGGGCGGGCTACGGGGGCGGCGGCCCGTCGAGGGAGCGTGGCGGCAAGCGGCTCGCGGGGCTGGCGGCTGAGGCCCGAGGGCGGCGAGAGGCCTGAGGCCCAACACAGGTAGGTTCCGCGGCGGCCCGGCTCCACCACTTGCCAGCATCTGCAGCCCGTCTCGGCCAGGCGCTCCAACGTCCGGCGCTGCACTTGCTCGCTGCGTGACTGGAGAACCGAGCCCCACATTTTCTTTATGTGGCTGTGGAATGGGGACGATAGTGCTCAGTGCCCCGTAAGGTTCCTGTGGGGATGCGGCCGGGGGGCGTCGGGAAGCGTCACAGCTGTGAGTTCTGGGGTTGTCGGCCAGGGACCCGACCCAGGGCCAGTCAGCGAGCTTTGGGATGCGCTGGTTCCCGCTGCGGTTCCACGGGGCGAGACGGTGTCCAGGGGCTTTCACAGACCTCCTCTGTGGGCGTGACACTTAACCACCAGCATCACATTTGTTAAGATTTTTTATTTTAAATTTTTGTGGGTCCGTAGTAGGTGTATACATTCGTGGCGTGAGAGGTTTTGATATAGGCATGCAGTTCGTAAGAATCACATTATGTAAATTGGGGTCTCCGTCCTTCAAGCATTTATCCTTTTTGTTAAAAACAATCTCATTATACTCTTTTAGTTACTTTTTTTTTTTTTTTTTGAGACGGAGTCTCGCTCAGTCTCCCAGGCTGGAGTGACGTGGCGCTGTCTCGGCTCACTGCAACCTCCGCTTTCCAGGTTCAAACGATTCTCCTGCTTCAGCCTCCCGAGTAGCTGGGACTACAGGCGTGTGCCAGCACGCCCGGGTAATTTGTTTTGTATTTTTTCGTAGAGACGGGGTTTCATCGTGTTATCCAGGATGATCTCGATCTCCTGATCTCGTGATCCACCTGCCTTGGCCTCCCAAAGTGTTGGGATCACAGGTGTGAGCCACTACACTCGGCCCCAAGTGCTACTTTATACCACACCTGTAAAGTAACACTGGGGATGGGACGCTTTAGTTTTTCTTGCTCTGTTGCCCAGGCTGGAGTGCAGTGGGTTGATAGCAGCTCACTGCAACCGCCTCTCGGGTTCAAGCAGTTTTCCTCCCTCAGCCTCCTGAGTAGCTGGTACTATAGGCTCCCGTCACCACACCCAGCTAATTTTTGTATTTTTTGTAGAGATGGGATTTCACCACGTTGGCCAGGCTGGTCTCGAACTGCTGGCCTCAAGTGGTCCGTCAGGCTGGGTCTGGTTCTGATTATCCTTAAGAGCTTTGGGGGTGTCAGGCATGTAAGTCTCCAATAAATAGAGAACATGGCCCCACCCTGCCGGATGCCTTTGGAGTGGAAGAGACACGCCCAGTGAAGTCTTGAGTTGGGGTACCGAAGGGACTCTGAACCTGACCCTCAGCTCTTCTGGTTTCTTATTCAGGTTCTGTTGGCCAGGACTGTTCATGGTGGGCTTCTCACCTGCAAAGTGAGGGAAGGGGTATGATCTTGGGCTCTGTTAGCCGAAGAGGTGGTGGTTCCAGGAAGGAGGGCTTTGCTTGCCCCACCACACCTACACACACACTCACCAAAGGCCTGTGAAGTGTTGGTCCCCCATATTGGTGGCTTATTTCTTTAGCCATCTTGGCTGTCACCTGGGGCTTGGAAGCCTGTTTTAGTAGAAGCTGAGGTCCTAATTGCATCTTTTAACTACCATAGCACCTGTAGGTCATCAGAACCTGACAAGGCCCTTGTTTTCTCCTCCGCTCCCTTTCCTGCCCTTGTTTTTTTGGCACTCGTATACCTAAGGGATTCCTGGTGTGCCGTTACTGGTGTGGGCCCGTCTTGGGGAAGGTGTTACCACACCAGTTTACTGGCCTGTTATATTTCCTCCATATCTCTCTCTTCAAAGGATGCCTAAGTGGATTCCTGTTCAGTTGATCTCTGCTGAGTGCCACTAGTCACATCCTAGTTTCTGTGCTGGGGAATTGCTTTCTTCTTCAGAAAAATTTATTTTTCTTCACTTTTTTGAAATTTTAAATTTCATAACCATTCCAGAATTTTTTTTTTTTTTTTTTTTTTTAAGACAGAGTCTTGCCCTGTCGCCAGGCTGGAGTGCAGTGGCACAATCTCGGCTCACTGCAACCTCTACCTCCTGGGTTCAAGAAGTTCTTCCACCTAGCCTCCCGAGTAGCTGGGACCACAGGCGCATGCCACCACACCTGGCTAATTTTTGTATTTTTAGTAGAGACAGGGTTTCACCATGTTGGCCAGGATGGTCTCGATCTCTTGACCTTGTGATCTGCCCGCCTTGGCCTCCCAAAGTGCTGGGATTACAGGTGTAAGCTACTGCGCCCGGCCTAGAAAAATTAATTGATATTTAAAATTTACAGGTCAGGTGAGGTGGCTTATGCCTGTAATTCCAGCACTTTGAGATGCCGAGGCAGGCTGATCACTTGAGGTCAGGAGTTCAAGACCAGCCTGGCCAACATGGTGAAACCCTGTCTCTACTAAAAATACAAAAATTAGCCTGGCATGATCGTGCACACCTGTAATCCCAGCTATTCAGGTGTCTGAGGCGCAAGAAGCTCTTGAACGCAGGAGGCAGAGGTTGCAATGAGCTGGAATCACACTATTGCATTCCAACCTTGGCAACAGAGCGAGATTGTCTCAAAAAAATAAGTAATATTTACCCACAGTAAAATTTTGGTGTTCAGTTCTGTGGGTTTTCATAAAGGCATATAGTCACAGATCCACCATTACAGCCATGCAGAAGAGGTCTGTCATCCTCCAAATTCCCTCTTTGTTCCAACCTTCAACCCTTTAATTTTGCCTTTTCCAGAATGTCACTTAAGTGAAATTAGGTGGTAAGCAGGCATCTTTCATTTAGCGTAAAGTGTTTGAAATTTGTTCATGTGTTGCTTGTCAACTATTGGATCCTTGTGCTTAATGCTGAGTAGCATCCATTATACGGATGTGCCACAGTTTATCCATTTTTCCATGTGTCATAACAGCAGCTTTTTTAGATATCATGACCTTGTTAGACAGTGAGGCACTAGGGATTGGAGTTGCTAAGGCGCAGAGCTGATTTTTTTGAGATGAAGTCTTGCTCTGTCGCCCAGGCTGAAGTGCAATGGTGCAATCTCCGCTCACTGCAACTTCCGCCTTCCTTGTTCTAGTGATTCTCCTGTCTCAGCCTCCCTAGGAGCTGGGAATACAGGCGTGTGCCACCACACGCAGCTACTTTTTGTATTTTTAGTAGAGGCAGGGTTTCATCATGTTGGCCAGGCTGGTCTTGTACTCCTGATGTCCGGTGATCTGCCCGCCTCGGCCTTCCAAAGTGCTGGGATTATAGGCGTGAGCCACTGCACCTGGCTCGAGCTGAATTTTGATGTAACTCCAAACTCAGGGTTCTTCCCCACCACATCAAGGAGCTGATTTGGTTAAATAACCCAATTAGTATTTCTTTACTGTCTATCTAAGAGGTTGTCAGGTTCCTCGGGTTGATGGAAAATTCTCTTTTACCTGGTGCCTGCAGATGGAAGGAGGAGAACGTACTCTACAGTTAATGCCTCAACATATATGCCCCTCTTTTCCGGTATGGTAACAAGCTCACCAGATTTAGCATTGATGGGACTACCCAAACCATACACTGTTTAAGCAAAGAAACTTGTCTAAATTACTCCCAGGATTGACTGCATTGGGTTATCAGTCTGCTAGGGTAGTGGCATAGCAGGGGCAGGACCAGCCTGTTGCATGCCCTGGAACAGTCAGCCAGGAAAGATCTAACCCTTGGGCCTTCCTCTGCAGTGATGTCCGAGCTCAGTGATGAAGCCAGCGAGCCGGAACTCCTGAACCGCAGCTTGTCCATGTGGCATGGGCTAGGGGCGCAGGTTAGCCAGGAGGAGCTGGACGTCCCCCTGGATCTTCACACAGCTGCCTCCATCGGCCAGTATGAAGTGGTGAAGGAATGTGTGCAGCGGTAAGAGATCTAGGGGAACTTCCCTCTCACATTTTGAGTAGCCCAGTGATGGCTTCGAATCTCGTGTGATGGAGCTTTGCACACATTTGTGGATGTTTAATGCTTGTGGAGCAGGGTTATCTCAGGCAGCTGTCAGTAATTATGCTGGGGACTGACAAAGTTTTTATTGCTAGGAGGAAAAAGAGGGTGTAAACTTGGATCAGAAGCTTGTAAATAGTCATTCTTTTTTTTTTTTTTTGAGATGGAGTTTCACTCATGTTACCCAGGCTGGAGTGCAATGGCGCGATCTCGACTCACTGCAACCTCCGCCTCCTGGGTTCAGGCAATTCTCCTGCCTCAGCCTCTTGAGTAGCTGGGATTACAGGCACGCACCACCATGCCCAGCTAATGTTTTGTATTTTTAGTAGAGACGGGGTTTCACCATGTTGACCAGGATGGTCTCGATCTCTTGACCTCGTCATCCATCCGCCTCGGCCTCCCAAAGTGCTGGGATTACAGGCTTGAGCCACTGCGCCCGGCTGTAAATAGTCATTCTTTAGCCAGAGTAATTTTATTCACTGGTTGCAGAAATGCTCAAACAAGCAAAATAAAGATAAAAGACGGAAAGTGATGGCCAGGCGCTGTGGCTCATGCCTGTAATCCCAACACTTTGGGACACCAAGGCGGGTGGGTCACTTGAGGTCAGGAGTTTGAGACCAGCCAGGACAACATAGTGAAACCGCATCGCTACTAAAAATACAAAAATTAGCTGGGTGTGGTGGCACGCACCTATAATCAGCTACTCGTGAGGCTGAGGCAGGAGCATCACTTGAACCAGGGAGGCAGAAGTTGCATTGAGCCGAGATTGTGCCATGCACTCCAGCCTGGGCAACAGAGTGAGACTCCATCTCAAAAAAAGAAAAAAGAAAGTGATGCCCCTCTGGCCCTCTTTTCCTGGAGGGTTCATCCCATCACTGTTCCCCTCTAGCTTCTGCCATGAAGGAGGAGAGAGGCCGAGCTTTGAGCACCTCTGGGGAATGGCCTCCTGACCTCACTGCCCACCTGCCCTTTACTAATCTGTACATAATAATTAGAGACAAAAAGCCCCTGGCAGGGCCCACAGCTGCGTCTTGCCTGTAGTAGGATGTGATCATCTTGTTTTTGGAAAAGGGTCTCCTCCCCTCCACCCCCTTATGTTCCACACATACTGTGCTTACTCTTTCTGCTGGTTCTCATTTGATACTGTGGTGCAGCAACCTCTCTCCCTATTTCCACCTGCCTCTTCCAGTTCCTGGTGAGCCAAAGCAAAGCCTTGCCGAAGCCCCAGGTCTCCGGTACCCAAGTTGTGGCCCTCACTTAGACATACCCAGCCCATGGAGCGCTGGGGCACCTTGGTACAGGGCGGTCTGTGGTGCCCCCTCCACAGGAGGCTGTAGGCACAGACAGCTGGGTATGTAGTCAGTGCAGCCCCTCACAGGGCCACATTTGGAATTCTCAGGCTCTTAAGTCTTCAGGTGTCCTGTTAAGATGCAGAGTCCAGAACAGCTCCACAGAAGAGCAGGGGGAGGTGTTTGTGTTCTAATGAGATTTCGACAGTACCTGAAGCAGAGGCTTGCTGACAGTGAGAACAGGATGGGGCCCGAGGGGAGCTAGGGGCATCAGAAGAGGGGGTAGGGCTGAATGGGGAGTAGTGAGAGAGCCCCAGAGAGATGCTCTGCTGCTGTGTAAAGGAAGACAGTGTTAGGACGAGCTGGGTGTGTTCCAGCCCTGTTGCAGAAGCATCTCCACATGGCTCCCCTGGCAGGAGCTGCCCCTGCACCCTGGTATCAGGACCTTCTGGAATGGCTCCCTGGGCATGCGTCCCAGAGTCACTGGGGCATGCCAGGAAAGTAGTTGCCTTGTGTGGTCTAATAAGAGAATCACACTAGAGGCACAAATCCTGGGGTTTGATCACCAGTTGTTACCCCCACTGCGAGCAATAATTGGAGAAGGGAAAAAAGGCCCGTGGGTGTTAACTGGGCAGGATGCCAGGTAACTATGCAAGTAGGTTTTTTTTTTTTTTTTTTTTTTTTTTTTTTTGAGAATGCGGTCTTGCTCTGTTGCCAGGCTAGAGTACAGTGGCTCAATCTCGGCTCACTGCAACCTCCACCTCCCAGGTTCAAGTGATCCTCTTGCCTCAGCCTCCTGAGTAGCTGGGATTACAGGTGCATGCCACCACGCCCAGCTAATTTTTGTATTTTTGGTAGAGACAGGGTTTCACCATGTTGGCCAGGATGATCTCGATCTCCTGAGCTCTTGATCTACCTGCCTTGGCCTCCCAAAGTGCTGGGATTACAGGCGTGAACCACTGTGCCCACCCACAAATTGGTATGATTTTAAAATGTAACTCCCTTGTCCCAATCCCAGAGTCAGGGCTGGGAACCCCACAGCTTTTTTTTTTCACAGAAAAATACATTTTCAGAATTTTAATGGAAATCAGTGAGGAAGATGGGATTCTTTGATCACAGATTTTTCTAGAATGTTTCTTTCTTTCTTTTGAGACAGTTTCACTCTTGTTGCTCAGGATGGAGTGCAGTGGCATAATCTCAGCTCACTGCAACCTTTGCCTCCTGGGTTCAAGTCATTCTCTCGGCTTAGCCTCCCAAGTAGCTGGTATCATAGGCATGTGCCATCATTCCCGTGTAATTTTGTATTTTTAGTAGAGACAAGGTTTTTTCGTGTTGGCCAGGCTCATCTCGAACTCCTGACCTCAGGTGATCCGCCCGCCTCGGCTTCCCAAATTGCTGGGATTACAGGTGTGAGCCCTTGAGCCCAGCCTCAAGAATGTTTCTTTAGGGTGAGGTGACAAGGGATGAATCAGGGGCAGTGGAGTCCCATCTGCTCCTCTACAGCCAGCACTGGGCTGGTAGATGTGTGTCCTGTGGTGGTCAGGGTTTTTCAACTGGGCTGTGTTGACAATCCAGCCTGGATCATTCTTTGCTGTGAGGGCTGTCCTGGGCACTGTAGGATGTTTCACGGTAGCCTTGGCCTCCACCTGCTAAATGCCAGCAGCTCTTTCCTGTCCAGTTGTAAGAACCAAAAATGTTACCAGATGTTGCCTGATATCCCCTGCTTGAGTGCCATCTGTCTATCTGGTGGTGTGAAAGAAGAACGTAGCTGGTCTTGGGCTAGGAGGATGTGAAAGCAGAGCAGGGAGATGAAGGCTCAGGGCCTCACAGGCAGTGTACAAGCAACTGTCAGCATTTCTGTGCCTACCTGCCCCCAGCCCCCACAACATACAGGACGGCAGGTAACTTCTGTTTCCTGTCGGCTCATTCCGTCTGGCTTAGCCTCGCCACCAGCTTTGGTAAACCACACATGCGAGGCGGCTGGGCTTGTCTAGCATATCTTGCGTTTGTTTAGGAGAGAGTTAGATTTGAATAAGAAGAATGGTGGTGGCTGGACCCCGCTGATGTATGCCTCCTACATTGGCCACGACACCATCGTGCACCTGCTGCTGGAGGCGGGGGTGAGTGTGAATGTGCCGACCCCAGAAGGGCAGACTCCACTGATGCTGGCCTCCAGCTGTGGCAACGAGAGCATCGCCTACTTTCTCCTCCAGGTGAGCTACGAGGGAACTCAGGTCCAGACACCTGAGGGGCTCCCTGGCCGCCCTGACAGAGACGCGAAGCACTGCAGGCCATGGTGTGCGTGTGTGCTCGTGTAATCACTTCTGATTCTTGCAGCATGGCCGCCTGGAGGGCGCCCGCCCCACACAGAGGAGATGAGGCCGTAACACACATTCTGTGTTCTCTTGAAGCAAGGTGCAGAGCTGGAAATGAAAGACATCCAGGGCTGGACAGCCCTCTTCCACTGCACCAGCGCCGGGCACCAGCACATGGTCAGGTTCCTCTTGGACAGTGGAGCCAATGCCAACGTAAGGTGATTGCCATGTCTTTAGTGGCCTAGCTGTTGTCTGACTCTAAGGAGGGCGGCTCTAGAAGCAGCTAACGAGAGTCTAGGGCCACTCTGCTTCAGCACAAGAGGCTCAACATGAGAAATAGAATGAGAGTCCTGCCAGGCCGGTCTTTTCCGCATCTGTGAGGTGACGTTGTTTGCATCTCTTCAGGCCCTCTGAGCTTCCTTTTTCTTATCTGAAACCCACTTGGGTCATAGAGTTGTAAGAATTACATGTTTTATTGTATGCCAGGGGCCTAACACAGTGAATGGCATTTTAAATGTCATATTTACATGCAAATTCCTTCTGCTTTCTTGTTTTTTGTATGGATGAGGTGAGGTGATGCTTTAAAAACAGTCATGAGTTTTATAAGTTGGAAGTGGGATTGTTGTCTAAAGCTTGTCGTGATGGTAATTACCTTTGAACAAATGCTGCGGGTACCAATGCAGCACCTACTCTGGCTGTGATGCATCCTAAGATGCCATATAATTTTGTATGCCACTAAGAAAGAAAAAGTATGCTACTAATGAACATTCAGCTTGCCTGTTGATTTAAAGACATGTTCTGACTTCAGAGATGTTAAAATGTGAACACTGTGTGTCTTAGAATGGATGAAAACCAGCGTTTCCCATGCATGGTTCCTATCTTCTAGACCAGCATGAGACAAGAAGGGATTCGGAAGCCCTCTGAAGTCAGTGCCGAGTTAGCATAACCAATCACGGAAGCAAGCTACAGGAGCTAAGCATAGCAAGGACAGCTTAGATTATTAGTACTTGACCTTTTCAGAGAGGGTTCGTGGAGGACTTGAAGCTAGGATTTGGATGAATCGATGGGAGATGTTGGCTTTCTGTGAGGAGTGAAGAGTCAGAACCGCTTTTCAAATATGATTGAGTTGGAGATTTCAGAGGTAGCAGGTGGGAATAGCCAAGAGGAGGGATGATAGGCAGACTCTGTCTTTAAGACAAAGACCAGCCCTCAGGAGAGACACCAGAAGAGTAAATGGAGCTGATGTGTTATATTTACCTTTTTCATCTCACCTGTTAATTCTTGAGAGGGAGAGAGAGTATTCTACACTTAGGGATCCGTGACTCGTGCACTACCCTGGGTTTATCTTCAGCAGTAAGTTTTTGCCTGTCGGAACTGGGCTCTGCCAATCGTCTGACTGTGGCCCACATCTTGCAGGGAGCCGATATATGGATTTACTCCTTTGATGGAAGCAGCTGCAGCTGGCCATGAAATAATCGTGCAGTATTTTCTGAATCATGTAAGTTACCCTGTTTATTAGCCTGTAATGTAGTCACAGCAAATGAGGAATATTACTGAAGTGTAAGCAATTACAGAATTTTCTTTTGCACAGAAATAACTGCCCTTCATTAATTTATTCAACACATTTTCATTGAATGTCTGTTGACTCCCGGTGTTGAGCAGTGCTTAGACATTAAGGGTACAGTGGTAAGTAAAAATAGACACCTCTTCCTATAATTATTTTGAAAATACTATTTGAAAAGTTTGGAAAAATACTTTTTTTTTTTTTTTTTTTGGGGGGGGCGGGGGACGGAGTTTTGCTCGTTACCCAGGCTGGAGTGCAGTGGCGCGATCTCGGCTCACCGCAACCTCCGCCTCCTGGGTTCAGGCAATTCTCCTGCCTCAGCCTCCTGAGTAGCTGGGATTACAGGCACGCGCCACCATGCCCAGCTAATTTTTTGTATTTTTAGTAGAGACGGGGTTTCACCATGTTGACCAGGATGGTCTCGATCTCTTGACCTCTTGATCCACCCGCCTCGGCCTCCCAAAGTGCTGGGATTACAGGCTTGAGCCACCGCGCCCGGCGGAAAAATACTTTTAATAGCCCTCATAATCCTGTCACTTGGAAAAATTATACAGAATAAGAAGGCAGAGTTCTTCCTCTCTTTTTCCGCCTCCTTAAGATACCCACTTGGTTTGAGAAAGAGCCGCACTAGGATTCTCCTCTGCTTGGAAAGGTGTGTCTGTAGGCAAGTGTGCGCACATTGCTTTGTGTTTGAACAAAGTGCGATTCTGTGTATATTCTGTAACTTACAGACATCTCATACACATCTTTACAGCATTCCATGTACAGTCTACCTCAGGTAATTTAATGAGTTTCTTATTAGTAAAAACTTAGTTTTTAACATTTTGCAGTTTTAAACAGTGCTCTAAGAATATCCTTTTACACAAAGCTTTAACACATTTGCAGTTATTTTGTATATTGTATTTCTATTTTATTTTATTAATTTATTTTTTTGAGACAGGGTCTTGCCCTTTGGCCCAGGCTGGAATTCAGTGGTGAGATCATGGCTCATTGTAGCCTCAACCTCCCGGGCTCAAGTGATCCTCCCACCTCAGCCTCTGAGCAGCTGGGACCACAGGTGCATGCCACCATGCCCAGCTATTTATTTATTTATAGAGATGGGAGTCTCAGTATGTTGTGGAGGCTAGTCTTGAATTCCTGAGCTCAAGTGATCCTCCCACCTCAACCTCACAAAGTGCTGGGATTACAGGTGCAATCCTGTTTGCACAGAACCTTGTACATAAATGTTCATAGCAGTATTATTCATAATTGCTAAAAAGTAGAAACAACCCAAATGTCCATCTACTGAGGAATTGATAAAATATGTATCTATATAGCAGGATATTATTCGGCCACACAAAGTAGTGAAGTACTGACACATGCTACGCCGTGGATGAACCTTGAAGCATTAGGCTTGGCCAGGTGCAGTTGCTCACACCTGTAATCCCAGGACTTTGGGAGGCTGAGGCCAGAGGATCGCTTGAGCCCTGGAGTTAGAGGTTTCACTGAGTTAGGATTGCACCACTGCACCCCAGTCTGGGTCACAGAGTGAGATCCTGTCTTAAAAAGAAAGAGAAAAGGAAAACATGAGGCTCAGTGAAAGAAGCCAGACACAAAAGGCCACGTACTGTATAATTTTATTCTTATGAAATGTCCAGAAGCAGCAAATAGAAAATAGATGAGTGGTTTCCTGGGTCTCGGAGGATGGGAAGATATGGGAGATAAAAATGTGCTGAAATTGTTTGTAGTGATGGTTGAACAACCGTGAATGCACTAGAAGCCATTGAATCGTACATTGTAAATGGATGAATTGTTGGTATGTGGATTATATTTTCATAAGGCTGTTAAACCCAGTACACAGGAGTTCAGGTGGTCCTAATGAATTCCCTCCTCCAAGGTCTCCTGTCTTGCCCACTAGTCATATACAAAGGCACCCTTTTTCTCAGGTCCTCACCAGCCGTGATGTCAGTCAGCTTTTTAAGTTTTTGTCACTTTGGGAGAATTGTGGCATCTAATTTTAACTGGTCCTTGTTAGTGTAGTTGAACTTTTTTTTTTTTTTTGAGACAGTGTCTTACTCTCTTGCCCAGGCTGGAGTGCAGTGGCGCCATCTCGGCTCACTGCAACCTCTGCCTTCCCGGGTTCAAGCAATTCTCCTGCCTCAGCCTTCTGAGTAGCTGGGACTGCAGGTACATGCCGCCATGCCCAGCTAATTGTTTGTATTTTAGTAGATACAGGGTTTCACTGTGGTACCCTGGCTGCTCTCAAACTCCTCAGCTCAGGCAGTCACCTGCCTTGGCCTCCCAAAGTGCTAGGATTATAGACATAAGTCATCATGCCCAGCCAGTTGAAGATTTTTAAATACATCTGTTGGTCATTTGTATTTCTCTTAAGAATTGTCTCTTTATAGCCCAATTTTCTATTGGCTAGTTTGTTGTTTTTCTCACTTACTGATGGGAATTTCTTAAATAATGAAATTTTCACATGATATCTCTTTTTAACAAAGAATTTTGGGACAGAACATTCATGTGGTACACATGCAGACCGGAAGGTGGGTACACTGCAGGCCTGCCCCCATCCTGCCTACATCTCCTTGGTACCTTCCCCACGAGCATCTCTGTTAGTACACCTATACACGTGCATGGTCCTGCCCCATGCACAGCTGCTCTCATCTTGGATTTTTTCTTTTCATTTTTTATAGAGACGGGGTTTCATCATGTTGGTCAGGCTGGTCTCGGACTCCTGATCTGGTAATCCACCCGCCTCGGCCTTCCAAAGTGCTGGAATTACAGGCATGAGCCACCGCGCCTGACTCATCTTGTGTTTTTTAAAACATAATCATGAAGATTGTTCTGTATTGGTGTATAAAGAGATGGGTTCAGGTGCAGTGGTTCACGCCTGTAATCCCAGCACTTTGAGAGGCCAAGGCAGATGGATCACTTCAGGTCCGGAGTTTGAGGCCAGCCTGGCCAACATGATGAAACCCAATCTGTACTAAAAATACAAAAATTAGCTGGGCATGGTGGCAGGTGCCTGTAATCCCAGCTACTTGGGAGACTGATACAGGCGAATCACTTGAGCCTGGGAGGTGGAGGTTGCAATGAGCCTAGATGATACTACTGCACTCCAGTCTGTCTCAAAAATAAATAAATAAATAGATGGGATCTTGTTCTGTCACGCAGGCTGGAGTGCAGTGGTGCAATCTCAGCTCACTACAGCCTTCACCTCTTGGACTCAAGTGATCCTCCTGCCTCAGCCTCCCAAGTAACTGGGACTATAGATGGGTGCCATCAGGCCCAGCCGATTTTTGTATTTTTTTTTTTTTTTTTTTTTTGTAGGGACAGGTTTTTGCCATATTGCCCAAGCTGGTCTTGAACTCCTGAGCTCTGGTAGTTCACCTGCCTCAGTCTCCCAAAGCACTCGGATTACAGGCGTGAATCAATGCACCTAGCCCCCACTCTTCTTTTTTTTTTTTTTTTTTTTTTTTTTATGGTGGCATGGTATTTCCTGTAGGGATGAATCAGAGTTTCTATAGCAATAATCTGCAGCTAGAATTAGGTCACTCCCAACCATTTGCTGTTATGCACAGCACTGTGCAGAATATCTCTGCATATGTGTCTGTAAACCTGTGTGACCACATCTGTACGGTCCAGTACAAAGGCAGAAGTTTTGGGTGAAGTGTAAGTACAGTCTTAATGTGGATGCCAAAGTGCCATCTTACACTCCCACCACAGTAAGAATCATGCATCCTAAACTATGAAGCACTGAAGAGTACAGTGGTAAGATAGTCAGCCATACAAACCCGGTACCTGTGTATGACACACATTAACATCTTGCCTCATCTGCCTCAGTTTTCTCCCGTTCTGTTTGTAAGGGACACAACTAAAGTCCCCTTTATGTGCCTTTCTGTCCCATCCACCTTCCTCCTTTTCCAGAGGGAACCACTCTCCAGCTGCTGCTGTGTACCTCTCCTGTCCCTGATTGATACTTTCATCGCATACTGTGTGTCCTTATGCTATGTGCAGACTTGTTTTGAATCTTTAAAGATGGATGCAAATAGCATATCAGGTTGTGTGTGTCATGGTTGTATGTGTCATTCAGCAACGTGTTGGCTTGTGCAGCAGAATGCAGTCTTAACAGCTCTGTGTGTGGAGGGATGCATCAGTCACCTTCATCCTTTCCTTTATTAGTGGGCTCTTAAGTTGGGTTCCACTTTCCTCTCCTGACAGTGCTGCCATTGACATATCTTTCTTTCTTTCTTTTTTTTTTTTTTGTTTTTGTTTTTGTTTTTGTTTTTGTTTTTTTTGAGACAGAGTATTGCTCTGTCCCCAGGCTGGAGTGCAGTAGCGCCTCTTGGTTCATTGCAACTTCTGCCCCCTGGGTTCAAGCAATTTTTCTGCCTGAGCCTCGAGTAGCTGGGACTACAGGAGCATGCCAACATGCTTGACTAATTTTTTGTATTTTTAGTAGAGATGGGGTTTCACCGTGTTAGCCAGGATATTCTTAATCTCCTGACCTTGTCATCCACCCATCTCAACCTCCCAAAGTGCTGGGATTACAGGCATGAGCCACTGTGCCCGGCCCAATACTTCATTGTGTATTTCCTAAAAGCAGGATAAAATTTGCTTTGCCAGTCACACAAAATTATCAAACTCAGGAACTCAACAGTGAGTTCTTCCTCCAGCACTTTAATCAAGAATCAAGGTGTTGGTCAATTCCAGGTGATTGCTTGGTGAGGTTGGGGAGGACTGGCAGCAGGTGGCCCGATGGCCTGGAGGCTAGTGGGCAAGCGCTGCCTGGAAGCTCCTCTCCCCCACATTCTTCCTGCCACCCAGTTGTTAGACTACCTGGAGCCAGAGGAGGGGGCCCACCCAGTTTCCTGGCCTGCACCTTCAGAGCTGGGCTCCATTTCTGGAGGGTGGAGTACTGGGCAAGGCTGGGCATCCTATGCTCTTTGCCAGGGGAAGAAAGGCCTGGGGCTGCTTTCCTTGTCCCCCGTTTCCCTTCTGCCAGTGGGGCCAAGCTCCAGGAGCTCAGTCAGGAGAAGATGGTCTGGATCTGTTTGGGCCTCTCTCTTTAAGAGAAAGTTGATTTCTACTTTCCAGATAGTCTCGTTCCAGAGTCTCTAAACTTTCTGATCCCACCTTCATGTTAAAATAAATTACCATGTGTCTCTCTAGTAATATAGACATTAAAATAGGAGAAAAAATTATTTTAAAGCTTAAGTAGATAAAAATGTATTTTCATGTCAGGCACAGTGGCTCATGCCGGTAATCCCAGCACTTTTGGAGGCCGAAGTGGGAGGATCACTTGAGGGTGGGAGTTGGAGACCACTAGGGATAATACAGGGAGACTTTGTCTCTTCATTAAAAAAAAAAAAAAAAAAAAAAAAATGGCTGGGCGTGGTGGCTCAGGCCTGTAATTCTAGCACTTTGGGAGGCCGAGGCAGGCAGATCACCTGAGATCAGGACTCAAGACCAGCCTGGCCAACATGGTGAAGCCCTGTCTCTACTAAAAGTACAAAAATTAGCTGGGCACAATGGCAGGTACCAGTAATTCTAGCTACTCTGGGGGCTAAGGTGGGAGAATCGCTTGAACCTGCAAGGCAGAGGTTGAAGTGAGCCAAGTTCATGCCATCATACTGCAGCCTGAGAGACAGAGCAAGACTCCATCTCAAAAAAAAATTAGCCAGTTATGGTGTGTGTTTGTAATGCCAGGGGGGCTATGATGGGAGGATCGCTTGAGCTGGGAAGGTCAGCGCTAAAGTGAGCCACGATAGTGCCAGTATACTCCAGCCTGGGCTACAGAGTGAGATTCTGCCTCAAAAAAAAAAAACACAAACAGATAAGGAGTGAAAATCCTACAGTAAAGAGGCTACTGTTTTTTTTCTGGTTAAAACCTTGGGGTTCATTCTATCAAACGTAAACTGGAAACTTGTTGTTGAGATGGTGTCTTCCTCTGTTGACCAGTCTGGAGTGCAGTGGCTCACTGCAACCTCCGCCTCCCGGGTTCAAGTGGTTCTCCTGCCTCAGCCTCCCGAGCAGCTGGGATTACAGGTGCGTGCCATCATTCCTCACTAATTTTTTGTGTTTTTAGTAGATGCGGGGTTTCACCATGTTGTCTAGGCTGGTCTCAAACTCCTGACCTCAAGTGATCTGCCCACCTCAACCTTCCAAAGTGCTGGATTACACGTGTGAGCCACTGTGCCCAGCCAAGAAATTATTTTTTATTTTTGAGACGAATCTTGCTCTATCGCCCAGGCTGGAGTGTGGTGGCATGATCCTGGCTCACCGCAGTCTTCACCTCCTGGGCTCAAGTGATTCTCCTGCCTCAGCTTCCCAAGTAACTGGGACTACAGGTATGCGCCACCTTGCCCGGCTGCTTTTTTATTTTTAGTAGAGATGGGGTTTCATCATGTTGGCCAGGCTGCTCTTGAACTCCTGATGTCAGGTGATCTACTCGTCTTAGCCTCCCAGTGCTGGGATTATAGGCTTTAGCCTCCTTGCCCAGACTATAAATTATTATTATTTTTTTTTTTTAGAGATGGGGTCTCGCTATGTTGCCCAGGCCGGAGTGCAGTGACTCTTCACAGGCTTGATCCCACTATTGATTAATACGGGAGTTTTGACCTGCTCTGCTTCCGACCTAGGCTGGTTCACCCTTCCTTAGGCAACATGGTGGTCCCCCACTCCTGGGAGGTCACCATATTGATGCCGAACTTAGTGCGGACACTCAATCAGCATAGCGCACTACAGCCCAGAACTCCTGGGCTCAAGCGATCTTCCACCCTCAGCCTTCTGGGTAGCTGGGACTTATAGGCACGTGCCAGTGCTCCCAGCTATAAATTATATTACTTTTTTTGGGATGGAGTCTCACTCTGTCACCCAGGCTGGAGCACAGTGGCGTGATCTCAGTTCACTGTCTCAGCCTCCCAAAGTGCTGGGATTACAGGTATGAGCCACCGGGCCTGGCCTATAAATTATTTTGTAAGGCTGGAAGTTTCATAGTTAAATTTTAGTCAGAGTTGAAAGTAGGGTAGGGTGTAGGGCTGAGGGCCCCACAGGGTCGTGGGGTGTGCCTTATGCTGTGCTGTGGCGCAGGATCTGAGAAATAAAGAGACAGGACACAGAAGTACAAGGAAAACGCAGCTGGGCTCGGGGGCCACACCACCTATAAGTGGAGTCAGGTGAGGCCCCGAATGTCCGGAAGCATGCGTATTTATTGTGTATAGGTTAGGGGACAGGGCAGTGAGTGAAGTCATCTTTAAGGATAGTGATAGGGTCGTGAGCAATAAAACATGGGGTCCACCCCCATTAGGTCACCTAGGCTGGGAGCTGGACAGTGCACAGCAAGGGGCCCATTCCCATGAAGGCAAGGGCCGTGTGCAGTAAGAGGTCCACCCCCATTAGGTCACCAAGGCTTGAAGGTGGGCTGTGTGCAGTGAAGAGGCTACAGTATGCAGTACTTCTATCTATGGGCAAACTACTAAGAAGATTTATAGGAGGATGCTTTAAGTCACATAGCAGTGACGAGCTGTTAAGGTTACCACCACCTTCTGGCAGCTTCCAGTGGGTTCTATGGGAAGATGCTTTTCAAGCAGCACAGTACCAAGAGCTGATAAAGTTCACAGTCACCAAGGTGGATTGCCGGTCTGAGGGCAGCCTTCCACAAGAACTGGAGCAAGGTCCCACAACTCCTTTATGAGGAGGAGTGGCTCTCGCCCCAAGCCTGTCATACAGTGGGTATCTTTACAATACTGAACGCTGCTGCCTGGGCCATGGATTCTTGTCCTGGTATAACTGTTTGTCCCTTAAATCATGCTCTGCACTGTATCTGCTCTAGGCATTCCTCCGATTATAAGCTGCTTATTCCTTAATTCATGCTCTGTACTGTGTCCACTCTAGGCATTCCTCCGATTATGAGCTAAGATATAATTATAGGTATATATGTAGGGAAATATTCTTTAGGCACTCATACTATCAACTATTATATGATTATATATAGAGGATTATATAAAGGGATTCCTCAAGCCCTATTTCTATAAACTAATATAGGATTATGTAAACGATTATATAAAAGGAAATAGCTGAGTAGTAACACTATAAAGTGAGATATTCAAGCCCTAACTGTGCCAGGGTTCTGCTTAGCTCTCATTCCTCGGTGCCCATATGAGGGGTTACCCACAGTGGGGGGCAGTCTAGAAAGTAAAACTCCTTAGGCTTTGTGAAAACCCACTTTTTTCATGTATCCTTGCCCAGAGACCGCCTCTGCCCCCCTCACTGACTCTATGTGGGTGTCAGGGTTGAGGTTGCCTGGTCTCATGGGAGAGCTAGTTGCAGTATGGATGATAGCAGAACTACTTAAGGGTTGTAATTCTTCTGTATTTTTTTGAGACAGAGTCTTGCTCTGTCGCCCAGGCTCGAGCGCAGTGACATGATCTCAGCTCACTGCAACCTCCTCCTTCTGGGTTCAAGCGATTTTCCTGCCTCAGCCTCCCCAATAGCTGGGATTATAGGTGTGTGCCACCATGCCTGACTAATTTTTGTATTTTTAGTAGAGACAGGGTTTCACCATGTTGGTCAGGCTTTTCTTGAACTCCTGACTTCAGGTGATCTGCCAACCACGGCCTCCCGAAGTGCTGGGATTACTGGGTGTGCCCCCTTTCCCCGGTTTTTTTTTTTTTTTTTTTGAGATGAAGTCTCCCTCTGTCACCCAGGTTAGAGTGCAGTGGCGTGATCTTGGCTCACTGCAACCTCCGCCTCCTGAGTTCAAGTGATTCTCTTACCTCAGCCTCCCCGAGTAGCTGGAGCTGGAGGTGTGGGCCACCACGCCCAGCTAATTTTTTTTGTATTTTTAGAAGAGATGAGGTTTTACCACATTGGCCAGGCTAGTCTTGAACTCTTGACCTCAGGTGATCCACCTGACTCGGCCACCAAAAGTGCTGGTATTACAGGTGTGAGCCACTGCACCCAACCTGTGATTTCCACCCCTCACCTTTTTTTTTTTTTTTTTTTTGAGACGGAGTCTTGTTCTGTCACCAGGCGCCAGGCTGGAGTGCAGTGACACAATCTTGGCTCACTGCAACCTCCGCCTCCCAGGTTCAAGCGAGTCTCCTGCCTCAGTCTCCCAAGTCGCTGGGACTACAGGTACATGCTGCCATGCTTAGCTCATTTTTATATTTTTAGTAGAGACGGGGTTTCACCATGTTGGCAGGGATGGTTTTGATCTCTTGGCCTCGTGGTTCACCCGCCTTGGCCTCCCAGAGTGCTGGGATTACACATGTGAGCCATCACGCCCTGCTGATTCTTAAGTGATGTGTAGGGATCACTTTCTCTACTGGGCCCAAGACCATTAGTTGATCCTAGTTTTTCAGAATGGAGAGGGGGGAAGTACGTACATAAACGTTTATTATACAGTTGATAAATACTTGCTATTAATGAACTGGAAAATACAGTGGCTCAAAAGGAAAATGAAAGTTACTTATTCAGAGACAGCATGTGTTAATGCATAGACAAGTGACCTGGGTTTTTCTTTTTTTTTAATCTTTTATTTATTATTTTTTTTTTTGTAGAGATGAGGTTTCACCATTTTGACCAAGATGGTCTCGATCTCTTGACCAGGTGATCCACCCACTTCGGCCGCCCAAAGTGCCGGGATTGTAGGTGTGAGCCACCGTGCCCGGCTGTGACCTGGGTTTTTCTAGATGTAGATATTGTGTGAGAGTGGAATCATGCTCTATAAAATGTTTTGTAATCTGCTTTTTTCTCTTTTTCTTTCCTTTTTTTTTTAAATCTGGAACGCCTCACTAATTTGCGTGTCATCCTTGCACAGGGGCCATGCTAATCTCTGTTTCGTTCCAATTTGAGTATATGTGCTGCCAAAGTGAGCACTCCTTATTTTTGTGTTTTGAGATGGAGTCTTGCTCTGTCACCCAGGCTGGAGTGCAGTGGTGCGATCTTGTCTCACTGCAACCTCTGCCTCCCAGATTCAAGCAGTTCTCCTGCATCAGCCTCTCGAGTAGCTGGGACTACAGGCGCACACCACCACCCAGGTAATTTTTGTACTTTTAGTAGAGACAGGGTTTTGCCGTGTTGGCCAGGCTGGTCTCGAATTCCTGACCTCAGATGATCTGCCCATCTCAGCCTCCCAAATGCTGGGATTATAGGCATGAGCCACAGCACCTGGCCTGGCTTTTTTTTCTGTTGATGATATTTTGTGCACCCTAGTACCTGCAGGTACTCCCACCCACCACATATGGGTGGGAGGCACTGTTTTCTGGATATGCTCTTATGTAGCTCACTAATCTCTTAATTTAGGTTCTTTCTAATTCTCACTATGCTAAATGCTGCAGTGAAAATTCTAAATTTCAGTGAATGTCCTGCATTATTTTCTTTGGGGCCACTGCAGTTCAGCCTGGGTGACAGAGTAAGATCCCATCTCAAAAAAAAAAAAAAAAAAAAGGAAACATGTTTATGGTAGTACATTTTAAAAACACAGAAGATTGGAAAATTGGAAAAATCCTCATCAAAAATAATAAATAACTTAAAGATAATATTTTGGGCATGTTACCTTCCAGTATTGTTTTTTGTGTACTTGTTTTGTCTCATTTTGCTGCAGTTGTAATGTATGCATAGTTTTGTATCATATTCCTTTTTTAGTTTTTTGAGACAAAGTCTCGCTCTATTGCCCACGCTGGACTGCAGCTGCGCAATCTCAGCTTGCTGCAGCGTTGCCCTCTGGGGCTTAAGTGATCCTCCTGCCTCAGCCTCCTGAGTAGCTGGGACTATAGGCATGTGCCATCACACGCTGCTCATTTTTATTAAAGATGCTCCCCCTTGCCTGGCTCTCACATGCTCCTCTGAGTTTTGGCTCTTGCTTCCCTGTCTCCCCAGCTGCCTGGTCTAACAGTAGAGACAGACAGTTCCAGTGCACTAAAATCATGCTGTATTGATTAGAGGTTGTTGTTGTTGTTGTTGTTGTTGTTGTTTTCCCGAGATGGAGTCTCACTCTGTCACCCAGGCTGGATTGTAGTGGTGCAGTCTCGGCTCACTGCAACCTCCACCTCCCGGGTTCAAGTGATTCTCCTGCCTCAGCCTCCTGAGTAGCAGGGACTGACTACAGGCGTGCGCTACCATCCCTGGATAATTTTTTGTATTTTTAGTCGATGGGGCTTCACTGTGTTAGCCAGGATGGTCTTGATCTCCTAACCTCATGATACACCCACCTCGGCCTCCCAAAGTGCTGGGATTATAGGAAACACCCACTGCGCCTGGCCAGAGTTGTCATTGTTTTTGTAGAGATGGGATCTTGCTTTGTTGCCCAGGTTCTCCAACTCCTGAACCTGAGTGATCCACCTGCCTTGGCCTCCCAAATGCTACAATTACAGGCATGAGCCTCGTTTGGCCATGATCCTTTTTTCAACTTGATTACACAGCTGTTTGTAAATGTCATCATTTATGGCAGTAATATAGCTGACTTCTCATCCCCCTGAGCATTTGTCTCTAGGTACATTTTCATTATTGTGAACATGTTGTGCCAAACATCTTTGTGCACTGAAGCTTTCTTTGTATTTAGGGCTGTTTCCTTAGAGTCATAGAAGTGGAATTGTTGTGCTGCAAGACCTGTAAATACATTATAGAGCTTTGGATAAAAGTTATGAATTCTGCTTCAGAGGGTGGTGCTTTCATTCTGAATGTGGTTTAAAAGGCTGCTTCTCGGCCAGGGGCGGTGGCTCAAGCCTGTAATCCCAGCACTTTGGGAGGCCGAGGCGGGTGGATCACAAGGTCAAGAGATCGAGACCATCCTGGTCAACATGGTGAAACCCCGTCTCTACTAAAAATACAAAAAATTAGCTGGGATTACAGGCACGTGCCACCATGCCCAGCTAATTTTTTGTATTTTTAGTAGAGACGGGGGTTGCGGTGAGCCGAGATCGCGCCATTGCACTCCAGCCTGGGTAACAAGAGCGAAACTCCGTCTCAAAAAAAAAAAAAAAAAAAAAAAGGCTGCTTCTGTTGTGAACTGCTGTCTCCAGTTTTCTTTGAAGAGAAGCAAAGCGAGTGGCACACAGCCTAGGCGCAGAAGGTGAAGGCTGGGCTCCCCCTGCAAGTGAGAGCTTGAACATGGCAGGCAGCAGTGGGAAGCCGAGAGCCGCTGCAGCTGGGAGGTGACTCCCCAGCCCCCCTCATCCTTGTCACTAAGAAGATAGTGAGAGCAAAACTTGTGGCTGTGATGCAGACAAGCCTGCCCCTCTTTCTCATGTAGACATGATTTTTCGCACACAGAGAGGCAGTAAAAAGCCAGCTCTCTTCCCAGCCACCAGCCCAGGAAGCGCAGGTGCTTTGAAGGAGAGGCCCCTAACCCTCCTTTCATGGACATTTGCAGGGAGTCAAGGTGGACGCAAGAGACCACAGTGGAGCCACAGCCCGGATGCTGGCCAAGCAGTACGGACACATGAAGATCGTGGCCTTGATGGACACTCACTCACCCTCTCTGCCCAAGAGCCTCTATCGGAGCCCAGGTACCCGCACCTGCCAGCTGCACTCTGCTGGGGTCTGTGGTTGTCTTGAGCTTTAGGTAACTTGGCAGAGAAAGATGCCCCCCCACCTGCAGCCAGGCATGGTGTCTCACGCCTGTAATCTCAACAGTTTGGAAGGCTGAGGCAGGAGGATCACTTGAAGTCAGGAGTTCAAGACCAGCCTGCCCAACATGGTAAAACCCTGTCTCTACTTAAAAATACAAAAAAAAAAAAAATCAGAAATCTACCAGGGATATCGCCAGGAGCTCCAGCTACTCAGGAGACTGAGGCATGAGAATCACTTGAACCCAGGAGGTGGAAGTTGCAGTGATCCAAGATCCTGCCACTGCACTCCAGCCTGCGTGACACAGCGAGACTCTCTCAAAAAAAAAAAGAAAGAACAGGAAAGGTACCCCCCACTTCCCTGGCTCCCACCTGCTCCTCTGAGATTTGGCTCTGCCTCCCCCAGCCACTTCCATGGCAAGGTTGAGGCTGCTGCTGTAACAGGAGAGAAAGTTGGTTACAGTGGAGTGTGGCACCAAAACCAGAAGCTTTCTGTAGCATGCCTTACCACTGCGTAGGCCAGTCCACTCTTAGTTTTCTGTTTTCCGTTTCCTGAGCTATGGCTTGTTTATTTTTCTATATGAACTTGAATATCAACTTGTCTAGCTCCTTTAAAATAGTATTAATATTTTTATTGAGATTGTGAAAAATTTATAAGTTAACTGTATCTTTGTGATGCTGAGTTGTCCTATGCAAGAACGAAGAATGTCTTCTTGTTCCAGTGTACTTCTGGGTCTTGCAGGAGGGTTTTACATTTTTCTTCATCTACATTTTGCATATGACTTAAGGTTATTCGTAAGAGTTTGGTCATCTTTGTTGCTGTTGTAAATGGGGTTTTCCCTACCATTATATCCTTTTTTCCCCCCAACTCTCAGGGTATTAATTACTCAGTGCTCTTTATTTTGTATTTACTTTTTATTTCAGCAGGTTTTTGGGGAACAGGTGGTGGTTGGATACATGAATAAGTTTTTTTGTTTTTTTTTTTTTTTTTTTCTTTTTTTTTTTCTTTTTGAGACAGAGTCTCACTCTTTTGCCTAGGCTGGAGTGCAGTGGTGCGATCTTGGCTCACCACAACCTCTGCCTCCCAGATTCAAGTGATTCTTCTGCCTCAGCCTCCCAAGTAGCTGGGATTACAGGTGCGTGCCACCATGCCAAGCTAATTTTTGTTTTTTTAGTAGAGACAGGATTTCACCATGTTGGCCAGGATGGTCTCCATCTCTGACCTCATGATCCCCGCTGCCTTGCATTCCCAAAGAGCTGGGATTACAGGCGTGAGCCACTGAGCCTGACCATGAGTAAGTTCTGTAGTGGTGTCATTATATTGTCAGTGCATTTGAAGGCAGTGGATTTCTGCAAACTAATTTTATGTTCTGCTACCTTATGGAATTCTTCTATTGGTTAGGTTAGTTTTGTTATTGATTCTTCAGGGGTTTACAGGTGTACTACCATATAATATTTAAATATCAATGGATACACTGCTTCCTGATGATTCTTGTGACTCTGACTGTTGAATTGCATTGTTCTTTTGTTTAGTTGTTAACACCTCTAGACCATTGTTCAACATCATGGAGACAGTATGCATCCTTACCTTGGTCCTGATCTTAGTGGAAATGCCGCCACATTACGTGAAAGGCTGGTTTTAAAAGGGAAGGCATATGTTATTTTAGCATATTAACAAAGCACTGGCTGGGCGCCTGTAATTCTAGCACTTTGGGAGGCCGAGGCGGGTGGATCACCAGGTCAGGAGTTCAAGACCAGCCTGGCCAAGATAGTGAAACCCCGTCTCTACTAAAAATACAAAAGTTAGCCAGGCATGGTGGCAGGTGCCTCTAATCCCAGCTACTCAGGAGGCTGAGGCAGAGAATTGCTTGAACCCTGCATGCAGAGGTTGCAGTGAGCAGAGATCACGCCACTGCACTCCAGCCTGGGCAACAGAGTGAGACTCATCTCAAAAAACAAAAGTATTCATCAGTTCTTCTATTCTTGAGTATTGTTTTATAGGAGTCACTACTGAATTTTCTTTCCACATCTTCGGAGACGACTGGAATGTTACCTGTAGCTCTAGTCATATGGTAGATTATCTTCATGAACCTCCTAATAATGAATCAACCTTACATTCTTGGCTGAAATCTCACATGTTGTATTATTTTAATGTGCTTTTAAATTGTTTATTAATATTTGGTACTTTTCTACGGATATACATTCATCAGTGATATTGGTCTATAATTTTTTTTTTTCTTTTGAGACAGAGTCTTGCACTGTTGCCTAGGCCAGAGTGGAGTGGTGAGATCTCAGTTCACTGCAACCTCCGCCCATAGGGTTCAAGCAATTCTCCTCCCGCAGTCTCCAGAGTAGCTGGGATCACACATGTTTACCACTATACCCAGCTAATTTTTGTATTTTTAGTAGAGATGGGGTTTCACCATGTTGGCCAGGTTGGTCTTGAACTCCTGACCTCTGGTGATCTGCCCGCCTCAGCCTTCCAAAGTGCTGGGATTAGAGGCCTGAGCCACCATCCCCGGCCTGGGCTATAATTTTCTATTTTTATTCTGTCTTTATGATATATACAGTATCAGTGTTACACTTCATAAAAGTAATTTGGAATTTTCCTTCCTTTTTGTGTTCTAGGACAATACACGTAGCATTAGTGCTGCCTGGTCTTAGAAGTTTCGATAGAATCCTCCCATGAAACCGTCCGGTCTCTGTCTGTGAGGTGGTTCCTCGACAAAAGTTTTTCTCTTTCTTCTGTAGAGACTGGCCTCCTCACGCTTTCTCTTCTTACGGGGTCAGTTTTGGTAAATTATATTTTCCTGAGAGATCACTTCATCTACGGTTTCAGACTTATTTGCGGAGGTCTACAACATACTGTTTTCCTCCTTTTAAAATACTGTGTTTCAGGCCAGGTGCCGTGGCTCATGCCTGTAATCCCAGCAGTTTGGGAGGCTGAGACGGCTGGATCACTTGAGGTCAGCAGTTCAAGACCAGCTTGGCCAACATGGTAAAACCCCGTCTCCACTAAAAATACAAAAATTAGCTGGGTATGGTGGGATATGCCTGTAGTCTCAGTTATTCTGGAGGCTGAGGCAGGGGAATCGCTTGAACCCGGGAGGGGAGATTGCAGTGAGCCAAGATCGTGCCACTGTCATCCAGCCTGGGTGACAAAATGAAACTGCGTCTCAAAAAAGGTAAGTAGATAAAATAAAGTACTGTGTTTCAGTGGTGATTTTCTCCCATTTTTTTTTTTTTTCCAGAGTGGAAAATACTGATTTACTTTTTGAGACAGGGTGTTTGTTTCTTTGTCATCCAGGCTGGAGTACAGTGACCAGATCTCAGCTCACTGCAACCTCCGCCTCCCGGGCTGAGAGCAGTTCTTCCACCTCAGCCCCATGAGTAGCTAGGACTGCAGGTACACCCTACCATGTCCAGCTCATGTTTGTATTTTTTGTAGAGATGGGGTTTTGCCATGTTGAACAGGCTGGTTTCAAAACTCCTGAGCTCTAGCAGTCCACCTGCCGCAGCCTCCCAAAGTGCTGGGACTACAGGCATGAGCCACTGCACCTGACCTGGAAAGTATTTATCTCATTTTAATTGACAGAAATAACTATGTATTTATGGGGTACCGTGTGTGATGCTTTGATACATGTATACACTGTCTAATGATCGAATTGGATAATTAGCTTATCTATCACCTCAAACATTTATTATTTCTTTGAGATGAGAACATTTAAAATCCTCTCTTCTAGTAGCAATCTCGAGATATACACTACTGTTACGTATAGTCACTCTACTGTGAACACCAGAATTTGTTTCGTTGATCTGTAATTTTGTACCTATTGACCATTCTCTTCCATTACCTCCTCACCCCCAACCTTTGATAACCACTGTTCTAGTCTACGTGTATGACATGAGTATCTAAAAATTCAGTAAGTGGGTGAGATCATGTAGTCGTGTAGTTTTGGTTTTTTTGTTTTGCTTTGTTTTTTGAGACAGGGTCTTGCCCTGTCACCCGCGCTGGAGTATGGTGACTTGATGTATTGGCTCACTGCAGCCTCCAATTCCTGGGCTCAAGGATCCTCGCATCTCACCCTCCCGAGTAGCTGGGACTACAAGCGCCCACCATCACACCTGGCTAATTTTTATTTTTAATTTTTGTAGAGACAGGGTCTTGCTATACTGACCACGTTGGTTTTGAACTCCTGGCCCAAGCAGTCCTCTCACCTTGGGCTGGCAAACTGTTGGGATTATAGGTGTGAGTCATCGCGCCCAACTGGCATTTGTCTTGCTGTGTCTGGCTTATTTTACTTAACATAGTATCTTCCAGGTTTATTCCTGTTGCCACAAATAATCAGATTTCATTCTTTATGTCTGAATAATATTCCATTGTGCATATAAACTCATTTTCTTTCTTCATTCATCCTCTGATGGACACTTGTTGATTGTGTATCTAGGCTGCTGTGAATAGTGCTGCAAAAATCATGAGGCTGTAGATAGCTCTTGGGTACATTGATTTCCTTTCTTTTGGATAAATACCCAGGAGTGGAATTGTTGGATCTCATTTCTTAAAATTTTTTAAATTTTTTATATTAAAAAAAATATAGGGGCAGTGTCTCACTATGTTGCCCAGGCTGGTCTCAAACTCCTGGGCCCAAGTGATCCTCCCACCTCAGTCTTTCACAGTGCTGATATTGTAGGCATGAGCCACTGTGTCTGGCCTCATTTTTTATTTTGTATGTTTGCGTTTCTTCTGTTTATGTTAAATACTAGTACTTTGTCCATTTAGTGGAAAACCCATAGGATCTTGGTTTATTAATTAGATCTACTGATTGTCAGTTCTCTATTAATTTCTGCTTTTATTTTTCTTTCACTTAGTTGTTCTAGTTTTTTGAGTTGGGAATTTCTTTCATTTTCATTGTTTCTCTTTTGCTAAATGTTGGAGGCTGTGAAGTTTTGCTGACTGCTGCTTTAAGTATATTCTGGGCGTTCTGTATTTAGTGCTTTTTTTATTTTTCAGAAATTCTATAATTTTTATTTATATTTTCTCCTTCAACCAGGAGTTGTCTAATAGAAGTTTTGTGGTTGTTTTTGTTTGTTAATTTCTAGGTGGAAGGGCCTTTTTGATCTTGTGATTAATTTCTCACGTTATTCTGATCAACTTTATTCTAATTTATCTGGTCAGAGAGTGTTTATAATTCTTAAATTTACAGAACTTCCTTGTCATCTTATTTTTCACCTACTGATCAATATATATATATATATATTTTCAAATGAAGTCTTGCTCTGCCACTCAGGCTGGAGTGCAGTGGTGCGATCTCGGCTCACTGCAACCTCCACCTCCCGGGTTCAGTGATTCTCCTGCCTCAGCTTCCCAAGTAGCTGGGATTACAGGTGTCCGACACCATGCCGGCTAATTTTTGTATTTTTAGTAGGACGGGGTTTCATTATGTTAGCCAGGTTGGTCTTGAATTACTGACCTCAAGTGATCCACCCACCTTGGGCTCCCAAAGTGTTGGGATTACAGGCATGAGCCACCATGACTGGCCTAGTCAGTATTTTCAAATATTCTTTGTTTTGCTTGAGAAGTTGTATTCTCTATTATCTATGCTACAATTTAGCATATCTGTAAGTCTGTCTTAGTGTGTTTGATTTATGAAGGAAGATGGTACATTTTTTTGGTGGCAGATATTCATAATTTGTTACAGATTCATTGTGAATCGCGGCTTTTAGTATTAGAAGTGTCCTGGCCTGTGGCGTGGTGGCTCATGCCTGTAATCCCAGTGCTTTGGGAGGCCAAGGTGGGCAGATCACCTGAGGTCAGGAGTTCGAGGCCTGCCTGGCCAACTTGGTGAAACCCTGTCTCTACTAAAAATTTAAAAAAAAAAAAATTAGCCAGGTGTTGTGGCACATACCTGTAATCTCAGCTGCTCAAGAGGCTGAGGCAGGAGAATTGCTTGAACCTGGAGGTTACAATGAGCCAAGATCGTGCTACTGTACTCTAGCCTGGGTGACAGAGTGAGACTCCATCTCAAAAAAAAAAAAAAGTGTCCTTCTGTGTCACATGTAATGCTTTTTGGTCTGAATTCTACTTTGATAGCAGGATTGCAGCCCTGGCTTTTTTGTGATCTCCATCTGCCTGTTCTTTAAGTCATTTTGAGGGCATGTTGAGTGCTCGGATTCACACAACTGCCTCTGTACGTTTACTGTCTTACAGCTCCCTCCCCTTCAGCTTGGATGGAAGCACAGTCTCCCTGGGGTGCTGTAGATCTTTGAATGTGAAAGGGCATGTGTCCGCATGGCTAGCTCACTCGCAGAGTGTGAGCCTTTTCATGGGGAAGAGCAGAGTGGCCGAGGTTCAGGGCCTGAGCCTCTCCCACCTACCCCGAGTTGTCCCGAGTGAGCAGCTTCTTTCTCAGGGTCAGGCTCAGCCCAGCTCCTTCCCTGGCACAGGGATTGTTTCATAATAAAAATTGCTCAGGTGGTAAAATGGTAACACAAAGGACCTCTCCCTGCATCTCCACCCCAGTTTACAAGTCTACAAGGAGATCTCATTTCCTCCTATATACCACTCTTGTTCTTTTTTTTTTTTTTTTTTTTTTTTTTTTTTTGAGAGGGAGTCTTGCTCTGTTGCCCAGGCTGGAGTGCAATGGCGCCATCTTGGCTCACTGCTGCGTCTGCCTCCTGGGTTCATGCATTTCCCTGCGTCAGCCTCCCAAGTAGCTGGGATTATAAGTGCCTGCCACCATGTCTGGCTAATTTTTATATTTTTAGTATAGATGGGATTTCAGCATCTTGGCCAGGCTGGTCTTGAACTCCTAACCTCAAGCCAGGTGCGGTGGCTCAAGCCTGTAAGCCACTTGGGAGGCTGAGGTGGGCGGATCACCTGAGGTCAGGAGTTCGAGACCAGCCTGACCAATATAGTGAAAGCCCATCTTTAAAAAAACAAAAACAACAAAAACTCCTAACCTCGTGATCCACCCGCCTTGGCCTCCCAAAGTGCTGGGATTACAGGCATGAGCCACCGCACCCGGTCTCACATCTCTTAAAAGTAGAATTGGATCAGAGCCTTATATGAATCAAATATGAAAAACTGAAAAGCTACAAAATAGTAAAAGCTCTGGGTTGAGCTCTGAAAGGTCAGACTAGGTAGTGATATGAAAGAGTTAATAATCATAGCAAACATATGCCATGCTTTAGAAAATACAGAATTCCTTAAGTTGTTTCCAAAGGAAGGAATCTGGACAAAAAAGAAGTTGTGACTGGTATTACCACATTTTAATGAAGAGATTAATTTTAGTTATTCCTTCAACTTAGAACAAAATTTCTGATTATGAACAGTACAGGCTTTTTATGAATTTGCAAACCCCGACAAAGAGATAAGAATGAAACTCCTCACTGGACTCGGTGGCTTAAACCTGTAATCCTAGCACTTTAGGAGGCCCGCGGGGCAGATCACCTGAGGTCAGGACTTTGAGACCAGCCTGACCAACATGGCGAAAGCCCATCTCTACTAAAAAAAGAAGAAAAAAAAATTAGCTGGGCATGGTGGCGTGCACCTGTAATCCTAGCTACTTGGGAGGCTGAGGCATGAGAATTGTTTGAACCCAGGAGGCGGAGGTTGCAGTGAGCTGAGATCGCACCACTGCACTTCATCCTGGGGGACAGAATGAGACTGTCTCAAGAAAAAAAATTAAGCTCCCTGTTGTCACTAACTTTGCAGCTGCCTGTGGCCCACTGGAGCAGCACCCCGGCCTATGTGGGCATTTCCCAAAAGCGATGTCCTGGCAGATATCCTCTCCTTAATTTAACAAAACCTGTGATAGTTACTTTCAGTTTACTCTAAGGATTAGTAAATGAGTCCATCACTGAACAGACTGTCTTAATCTTGGTGTTTGACCTACAGAAAAATATGAAGATCTAAGTTCTTCTGATGAGTCCTGCCCTGCTCCTCAGAGACAGAGGCCGTGCCGGAAGAAGGGTGTCAGCATCCATGAGGGGCCGAGAGCGCTGGCCAGGATCACAGGCATTGGCCTCGGGGGCAGGGCCCCACGGTGTCGCTATGGTGAGTGGCCTGCATCTCTCTCTGTTACTGCATACCAAGATTCTGCGTTGGCAAGAATGGAATAGCTCTTAGGCTCCTGAAACATGGGTCCCTGGACCTCAGGTGGCAGCAGGACAAGTGGCCCAGGCTTTCTTGCTTAGGGAGAATCAGGATCGAGTCCAGTGATAGAAATGCATTGGTTATGAGCTCATTCTGGTTTTTTGCTCCTTGACTTCCCTTTTCATTGGTTAAATTTAGGAATAAATCTCTCTGTCCTGCAGTAGAAATGTAGCTCAGGTCAGATTTCATTCATCGCATAGGTGGGTTGGCTCACACAGGGAGGGTGCAAAGTGTGAAGTTCCACTTCCCTGCCCTACCTATACCAGCTGGGTCATGTATGCTCTCAGGGGCAGGAGGCTAAGGGCAGGCAGGCCCAGCTGTTTTCTCAGGGTGATGGAGCTGAGCTCAGACCTTCTTGAGAGAGGGTGCACTTGGTGGTAAAGAATCCTAGCCTTCAGGTTTTCAGATCTCAAGTTTATTCTCAGGTTGTCAGCCCCATAGTGTTGAGCGTTTTGCTCTTGGGGAGTGCTGGGGGCTGTTTTTAGGTGAATTGGGTTTGGTATCCTCTCTCTCTTGCTGAGCTCAGACTGAGCTTTGAGTTGTGTCTTCTTTTGATGGCTGTCACCCACCCATGGCCAGGCCAAGGCTGCTGTTCTCACAGGCCTGGTGGCTGGTCCCTTGCAGGAGCCAGGCCTCTTTGAGGCCAGTACTTGGAATAGTCTGACTTTCGCAGTGAGAATAGACAGTGTTTCAGCCAAGGGTACATGAATCACTGGATTCCCTTCTAAGACTGCAGGAAGAAGCAGATGTGCAGACTTCTGTCTTCCCAAGCCTGGGTGCTGGGTTGGGAACTGGGGACCTACCTTCTCCCATCGTCCTGGGAGGGGCGGTTGACTGGGCCACTGGGAAGGCCTCTCTCCAGCTGCTGGCCACCTCTCACCACAGCAAGAGGGCCCACCTGTGTTCCAGCCACTGAGCTGTAAGCACTGGCTCTGGGACACTGGGCTGGTCATTCTGAGCAGCAGAGTCTCTTCCTTCTGAAGGATCTTGGGCACCTGCTATAGCCTGAGGTATGGTGCGGTGAGGAAGGAGGGGTTTCATCCTGGGGCTGGGGTGGTAATTAATCTATATAGCCATACAACAGATGCTTTATCAAAATAATATATGTCTGAAGCTGTCTGTGTGCAGTTCTTTGTACATATCCACAGAGCAGTGATGATGGTAGTGGTCTCAGGTGTGGCATTTCAGGGGATTTTTGTTTTTTCCTCTCATACCTTATGAAATTTAAATTTTCCATAAGTGCATATATTGTCTTTGCCAGTAATTTAAAAAATTGGGGACTGGGCACAGTGGCTCAGGCATGTAATCCTGGTACTTTGGGAGGCCAAGGTGGGTGGATCATGAGGTCAAGAGATTGAGACTATCTTGGCCAACACGGTGAGACCCCGTGTCTACTATAAAATACAAAAATTAGGTGGGCATGGTGGCACATGCCTGTAATCCCAGCTACTCAGGAGGCTGAGGCTGAAGAATCATTTGAACCCGGGAGGTGGAGGTTGCAGTGAGCTGAGATCTTGTCACTGTACTCCAGCCTGGCAACAGAGCGAGACTCTGTCTCAAAAAAAAAATTGCGGGGCTAGGTACAGTGGCTCATGCCTGTAATCCCAGCACCTTGGGAGGCTCAGGCAGGAGGATTGTTTGGGCCCAGGAGTTGTGAGACCAGTCTGGGAAATGTAGGAAGACCCTATCTCTACAAAAAGTTTTGAACATTAGCCAGATATGCTGGCCCATACCTGTAGCCCCAGCTACTTGAGGCTGAGGTGGAAGGATTGCTTGGGCCCAGGAGATCGAGGATCCAGTGAGCCATGATGGTGCAACTACACTCCAGTCTGGATAATAGAGCAAGAGCCTGTCTCAAAAAAATTTGGGGGGAATGATAAATAGCATGTGCTGATTGTAAAAACTTCTCTATAACTAGGAAAATATGTAAAGAAGTAAGTTCCCCATGGTCCTACCAACCAGTCTTTTGGGTTTTTCTGAGACAGGGTTTCACTGTCACCTAGGCATGATCACAGCTCACTGCAGGCTTGAATTTTGGGCTCAAGTGATCCTCCCGTCTCAGCCTCCCGCATAGCTGGGACCACAAGCATGTGCCACCATGCCTGGTCAAGTCAGTCTTTTGATGTGAATAAATGTGCTTTCTTTGGAGAAGGGGCAGGGGCAAAACTGGAGTGAAACTGCCTGGTATGCATGCCTTTTTCTGCTTGGTTTTAGGGGGAGGTGGAGTTAGGTAATTTCATATTATTGCTGTTAATTTTTAGCCCAAGGCCTTTTTCCTTCCTGCTTAGCCAGATCTCTTTCTCACTGCAGGTGACTGGCCTGAGGAGGCCAGCCTGTAAGGGCCTATGGTTAAAAAAGATCACATAAACATAAAGATGCCCAGTCAGCAGGCATTTATGTGAGGTCATTAGATACTTCCTGCTAAAAGAAGTATCTGGTCAGGCATCTGTAAACAGAGCTTACCCTTTCGTACGTTTTCCCCTTGAAAAAGAGGTCCTGTGGTGCAATGCAGATGTCCCAGGCTTGACCCAGCTGCCACCCGACCCCACCAGGCATTTACCTGAACCACTGACTAACCCACAGTATCTTTCCCACCACACACCACAGATACAGCCATGCTGGGTTGCAGGGGCAAGTGGGTGAGGTGATGGCTGGGAAGTCACCTGCCTCCATCCTGGGTCTTGGCCTCTGAGGAGGTCGGGGCATCTGGAACCAGAAGCAGCTTCACTTTGGAGTTCCCTGGGCTTATGGCCCCCATTCTATACACAGAGCAGGCGCCTCTCCGTGGCTATGTCACCTTCAACAGCAGTGGTGAGAACCCCCTGGAAGAAGAGGGCCTCTGCTGCCGGGATGTCACCTCCCCCATCAACGAGCGGGACATAGAAAGCAGCAGCAGCAGCAGCAGTCGGGGTACGTGTGCCCCACCCCGTTCAGCCTGCGGCTCAGGCAGGTCGTGGAGCTCCTGTGTGCCCATCTTACCCCCCTGGCCTGGCACTGGGGCACAGCCATCCAGCAGAGGACAAGAAAGGGCCAGATGTGGACGGCCCTGGTTCTTGTGAGGAAAGGGAAAAGCTTCTGGTCCAGCAGCCCCGTGCAGCTTAGGGGAGTCATTCCACACCAACAGGTTGAGCCCCTTGCTTGGGAGCCCACTGAGGCTTTCAGGACACGCTCCACTAGGAATGTCTGTAAGAATCACAGCTCTGTGCAGCAGCTGGTGACAGAGTGCCCACCTTGGGCCAAGCATTGCTCCAGGTGCTTGGGATTTAGCAGTGAACAGAAAGACAGAAGCCCTGCTGGTCTGTATAGAGGGGAGGGTTTAGGACAGGCAGGCAGCCTGAAACAAAAGGAATCAGCCGCTGCAGGCGCCAAGGAATGCCTTGGCTGAGGCAGCTCAGCCTGGACCCAGGGCATACATTGGTGAGGCCTGCAGGCGGACACCCTGTCTTCCCGCCCTCAGAGGGACATGCTTTCTGTGCCAACCTGGGGGCCGTCAGGAGCAGCAGCAGCAGCGATGGCCTGGCCAGAGCGCAGGGGCTCAGCAGCGAAGCTTCTGTGGAGAGCAACGAGGTGCGGACTCTTTATTTCTTGGTCCCCCATAGCCGGTCCCTGGCATGGTGAGGGTGCCTAACATCCCCCAGTCACTTTAAGGTGAGCACATGTGTAAGAAGCATGTGCTTCTTGTGTGTTCTGGGCTGGGATGTGCCATGGACAGGGCCTGGGTTCTCAGACTACAGTGAATGGCGCTGGAGGCCCCTGTGTGGCAGGTGGGGCATTCAGGAAGGCTCTCGAATCAACCTGCGTGCTCCTTCAAATACATGCCTCTTGCTGCAGGACTCAGATCACGCCTGTAAAAGTTCAGTTCGCAGACAAGCTAAAAGTTACATGAAGACCAAGAATCCCGACAGCCAGTGGCTGCCCTGCCCTGGGACTGACAAGGAAGCCTTTCCCCCCGAGTCCAGGCCCCAGACTCAGAGGGCACCTTACTCAGGACCCCAGGTAAGACCACTTGTGAGACTGGCGGTTCCACTGAAGAGATGGCACTTTCTCTGAGTATGAGGCATGTGTTGTGTATATGACGTGCCAGCTGCTGCTGGGAGAACAGAATGGCAGTGGCATCCCTGTGGCCTGACAGCCTCCACAGGCTCACAGCCGGCTCCGTGGCTGGTGGCTCAGCTGCAGGACTTGCACTCCATTCCTCGCCATGGGAAGGACCTGTGTCCCTGCTTTCCATACTGGAGTTGGCCTCCCTGAGCCTGGGGAGAAGAAAAACACACCTGGCCTGAGAGCTGCCTGCAGGAGTCAGTGACAGGATGTGGTAGAAGCAGAGACAGTGATCACACTCAGCTTGTGCTCAGTGACCGTTACAGTGGCCAGCATGGTCATCCTCCCTGTGGTCCGTCTGACCGCACATTACCTACAGGACACAGGTGTGGTTCGCAGCTCAGCTATCTCACCTGTGTCTGTTGTGTTCTGCCTTGTGCGGGCAGAAGAGGCACAGAGAGGAGAGGCAGAGGGAAGATCTGGCTATTTGTTTTTTGTTTTTTTGAGGTGGAGTCTTGTGCTGTCCTCCGGGTTGGAGTGCAGTGTCACGATATCAGCTCACTGCCACCTCTGCCTCCCAGGTTCAATCAATTCTCCTGCCTCAGCCTCCCAAGTAGCTGGGATTACAGGCAGCCGCCACCATGCTCAGCTAATTTTTTGTTTTTGGTAGACATGGGGTTTCACTATGTTGGCCAGGCTGGTCTCAAACTCTTGACCCTTGTGATCTGCCCACCTCGGCCTCCCAAAGTGCTGGGATTACAGGCGTGAGCCACCGCACCTGGCCTGGCTGGTTATTTTTTGAGGCACTGGTTTTGCTGCTGAGTAAAGCCTTGGATTTGCTGGCTTCTCCTTGCAGCCCTGGCTCAGTATAGGTGCCCATCTCAGGCTCGTCAGCATGCCCTGAGTGGGGTCCGGTCAGGGCGGTGTCCTAAGTATGTTTTTCTCAGAAAATAGTTTGAGGAAAATGGCAGAGTAATAACCTTCGAAAATTTGTTCCTCCATTAAACGCAACAATAAACTTTCAAAAGTAGGATTTCTGGAGTTGAAAAGTAAATGAAAATATCACTAGATGGGCTCAACAGCAGATTTGAGCAGGCAGGAGAATCAGAAAACTTGTGAACACAGGTCACCTGGTACTTTGCCTGAGGAACAGAGAATGAGTGAAAAAAAAAAAAATAAAGAGAAACCTATGAGTCCCTTAAGTATACTGATGACGTTCCAGAAGGAGAGAAGAGCAGAAACAATGGGTAAGAAACAGCCTGACCATCCCAAGTGGATCAGAAACATGGATCTTATATCCAGGGAGCTCAGTGAACTCGGACAGGTGAACTCGGAGAACAACTGTGCTTAGACAAGTTGGAACGTCCGACACTGACTCTTGCACGAGAGAGGAGCATTCTCCGCACGCAAAGCCTCTTCCAGATCAGCAGCTCCATCGCCCCTTCACAGAACTAAGCCTAGGATGAGGAGGCCAGTGTCTGGTCATGGACACACTGTGCCTCAGGTGGACGACCATAGTGTGAGGATGCGCCTGCTGCGACACCCAGCCCTGTCTGAGGCACCGGAGTAGGAGGGGACAGCCTGGCTGCTGCACCAGCACACAAGGCACCATCTTGGTGTTGAGCTGGGGGAAGTGGTGCGGCTCCGAGCAGAGGAAAATGGCTCTGCTTCGTTGTAGGTCACTACCTCCCCAAACCCGTCCCCTGTGCCCGCCAGGACCTGGCCGCGCTGCTGGAGCAGATTGGCTGTCTGAAGTACCTGCAGGTGTTTGAGGAGCAGGACGTGGACCTCCGCATCTTTCTGACCCTCACCGAGAGCGACCTGAAGGAAATTGGCATCACGTGCGTCCAGAGGGGCTGCTCTGGCCCTCAGCCTGGGGATGGGGCAAACTTCCTGCCCATGTAAGTTCCCTTGGGAGGCTGAGGCATGCCGTGGTCGCGTTCCCCGCTGCAGGCTGTTTGGGCCCAAGAGGAAGATGACGTCCGCCATCGCCCGTTGGCACAGCAGTGCCCGCCCGCCTGGGGACGCCCTGGAGCTGGCCTATGCCGACCGGCTAGAGGCTGAGATGCAGGAGCTTGCCATCCAGCTGCACAAGGTGAGTGGCTATGGCTGGAGGGCGGGGTGGCACCCTGGAGTTGGCCCCAGCTCTTGACAGAAAAGGCGAGTGCTGTGTGGAGTGGTTCCACACAGAGGACAGGGCTGGCTTGCACAGGCACCTCCATGCCCCCATGCCCCCTGCAGCGCTGCGAGGAGGTAGAGGCCATTCGGGGCCAGGTGTGCCAGGAGCAGGAGCTGCGGGCCGTGGTGGAGAGCTGCCTGCTGGAGCAGGACCGCGCCCGTGAGGATATCCAGGCCCAGCTTCGGGAGACGTGGGCCCTAGCCCGGGATGCTGCCCTTGTCCTGGATCAGCTGCGGTGAGTGGCTCTGAGCTGCCCTGGGCTGGGTCTCCGGTGGTCACCCCTGGCATTCTTTCTCCCTGACTTTGTAACTGAGAGGTGGATTTCAGGGCCCGGGGCCACCCCACCTCTATTTCATCCAGGCCTTTGCTTCCTGCAGGCAGACCCAGGCAGCACTTGGGGCTGGGAATCTGCACGGGTTTCCCTCCTGCTCATTAGTGCAGCTTCATGTGGCACTGGCCCAGCCCTCAAAGGCCAGCTGCAGGGACAGACAGGGCAGCTGTCAGACCCTTGAAGGTCTGAGTTGGGGGCTCTGCATTTCAGGCCTCTGCCCTCACCAGCACTTGTTCCTGTGTCTGGCAGAGCCTGTCAAGCTGAGCTGTCAGCCCGAGTGAGGCGGGACCGGTCCCCTGGTGCAGCCCCCCTTGGCCCAGCCCTCTCGCCGGCTGGTAAGAACCGTGGCCTGACTCCACACTGGTCAGAGGGGAAGGCAGGGAGCCCTAAAGCCGGGTTTGACCCAGTGGGCTTGGTCTGGTTCTCAGACCAACAGCCACTCTCCTGGGTCCCTGTGTGCACATGACCCCAGAGTCCAGGGAGAGGGGACCCTGGGGATGAAAGCCCACTTCCTCACCTGTGACAGGAAAACTGTAACCCAGCGGTGGGAGGCACTGGAAAGACCCTGTGCCGTGACTGGCTGTGCTGTGCTGACACCTCCAGTGACTTCTGCAGCTTCCAGCCAGGGCCCAGACCCTGGCCCCCACCGGCACAAATTGTATTCTCCTGTGGGGCTGAGCAGGCTTGGTATTTTCCTCAGCCCATGGGAGGAAGGGCTCCCCAGCCTCGGCCCTCGGAGGTCGCTTCGACAGGGGCAGGCAGGCAGGGAGGGAGGTTCTGATCCAAGGAGGGTCTCCTGCCTGCATGGGCTCAGGATAAAGAGGCAGGGCCTGTGGAGACACAGATCCCCAGCTTACTCAGTCCCTGCATCGCAGAATCCAAGGGCCAGCAAGTGTCCCTGCAGGCCATGAGCCTCCCCGAGCTCTCAGGAGCCCTGGAGGACCGTGTTCATGAGATGGGTGAGTCTCCGGGGCCAGACTTCACTGAAGACTGAGAACCCCTTTTGTTTCTGAGGGAGGCAGAGGGGCCCCTTTCCAGGGAAAGCAGGTTTGAGTCCTCCTACCCCAAGGCTGCCCTTGGGGCCCGGGCCATAATGGCTAAGGAGCAGGACACAACCTGAAGCTCAGAGCCCTGGGCAGCACCACTCAGCCCCACTGAGCCTGGGCCTGAGAGGCTCAAGGTCATCACTCCTAGTGCCCTGAGCCTGCCACCCAGACTTGCCAAGCATGGTATCTGGTCACATCCTCAGGACAAGCACTGTGCTCAGTGACCCAGAGCCTGGAGAAGCTGCAGGTGCTGAACGGGAAGAAGTGGCGGGAGCCCTAGCCCTCGGCTGGTGAGTATCTGGCAGCCTGGAGCCCACACAGCGGGAGCAGCAGGGCCTGTCTGGGCAGCTGCAGGTGCGCCTACACACCTGTCACCTCCCTTCTCACCAGGGCTTTTTCTTTCAGAATCTGACGTTGGGTGATTGGTCCACCCTGAAGCTGTGTGCCAGGGAGTGAGGAGGGCAGTGAGCAGGTGGCTGCTATGTGCAGCGCGGGCCCAGGCAGGGCCAGAGGATCAGGCCCCGGGAGCAGCCGGCAGACAGAGGCAAGCTGGGAGCTGCGGCCCTGGCTGGGCAGCTTGGGCCAGCACTGAGGTGGGATGAGGAACTCACCCCAAGCCTGGCGGTGAGGCCAGAATGCATGGGCTGCCCTGGCCCCGACCAGGCAGGGCCCTGGGGGAAGTGTGCCCATACACACAGGTGCCAACTGAGGTTCAACCTTAGGGGTGAGGACAGGGCACCTGGAAAACACCATTGGTTGGAAAATAAAATTTAAGATCAGCTAGTGAAGGTCTCAGTTCTGGTTACATGACATGGGGTACTGGCCCATGTGGCGCCTTTGCTCCTGGAGCCCACGTGACTGAAGACAAGGCTTCGAGAGCCAAGGCCGTTCCCAGCCCGCATAACACAGGGCCTCCCCCGACACACCGCGTGCACATGGAACACTGCCTCCCTCCCAGGCATGGGCTGTGAACATTTTCCCGAGGGTACCACTGGAGTCTTTCTAGACGTGAGGCTGTAGGCCGCCACAGGTGATGGCTCTGTTTCTTTCTGCACAGTAAGCCTGAACTTGAGGCTGTCCCCTGGAGCTGCTTGCAGACAGACAGACAGTGGGGATGGGTGGGTTTTCAGAGCAAAGCAGGTCAGCCCAGGTGGAGCCAGGGCCGCCGGGATCAGGACCGGGAGTCTACCCTGAAGGTCTGGGCCCAGAAGCCCCAACCCGGCTGTGCCCAGCGCACATGCTGGGAACCCCTCTCCTGGGCCCAGCCTAGGGCCTCCATCCAGAACTAAAACACAGAGCAGCTGAGGAGCGACTTTATTGTCTTCTTCTCTTGCCACAGATCCATATATAGTTGGGCCCCCAAGGCCCTGACTGTCCCTGGGAATCAAGCCACGTGGGGCAAAGCTACCATGAAACCTCACCCACAGTTCACACGTGGTGAAAGAGAAAATCTAGCAAAGTAAATCCAACAACAAACAAAATTAACAGTATTAACTTCCTACCCCAAGCTGGCTCTCCCCTAGGCCCTGGGCTGGCTCAGGAAGGAACGAACTAACCTAGACAGACAAGGCATCCTCCACCCACATATCCTGTCTTCTGAGTGGTCCAAGAACTGTGCACCTCCCCCGTGGGACAATCAGGCACTACCTGGGCCTCCATCAGCCACAGTGAGATACACACAAATGAGGGTCTGAGCCCCCAGAATGAAAGCATCCCGAAGCTGGAGAGGCAGACCCAGGGTGCCCAGACCACCCTGCCCAGCCTAAGAGGATGGGCTGGGTCCCAGTGGGCCTGGCCACTACCTAGTGACTGCTTGGGACAGTGGACGTGACAGGAGGCCCACTCGCCCCAGACAGTCAGAAGCAGGGTACAAACACTCTAGAAACCACACTTGGCAGGAATTCCCAGCCTTCTAGCCCAGGGGAGGGTGCCAGCAGACCAGGCCGCCCTCAGGAGGAGGCCGGGAGCAGCTTCTCCAGGGCCTTCTTCTGCTTCTCGGTGGCCGCAGCCAGGGCCTCAGCCAGCTTCTCCTCGGGCATCATGTTGAGCACCTTGAGGGCAAAGAGGAGCTGGCACTTGGCCGTGCTCACAAAGGCGTTGCTCAGGAAGTTGGGGAAGCCTCCGACACGATCCTTCTGGGTGTACAGCGGGACCCGCACGAGGCCCAGAACCTGCACGGACAGGAAGGAGGGCTTGGGGCCAGGCCCACCACGAGATGGCACCCCTGGCAGGAGGGGCCTGGAAGCTAGGAGGCCAGGGCATCAACAGCCAGCTTTGCTAAGGACTTAATGGGAGACCCAAGCAGGGCCTGGCAGAAGCCAGCCAGCTCCCTCGGAGCAGTACAGCCCCCTTCTCAAGCAAGTGTGGAGACTCACCCCATGCACTCCTGCCTGGTACCTGGACCACACCCGAGGGTCCACACCCCATGCTCCCCGCCCACCCAGCGAAGCCTGAACACCCCGAGTCCAACCCTTCCAGACTACAACACACAAATCCAAAGAGCCTTCACGCCCCCATGAGGTTCCCAACTTTTAACGACCCCCTCTGTGCTCGTTTGCCAACTCCCCAAGCAGGCCCCGCTCCCACATCCCCTCCTCCCCACCGATCCCACCACTCCCCACTCCCAGGATTGGCAATGGCAGGCAGCAAGGCAGATGTAACACAGCCCTGAGGGAGCCCCAGCCCCGGCCCCCACCCCCACCCCTCCTTTCCCGACCCCCTAGCCCCAAACCCCTCTCCCCACCCCGTTGCTGGAGACAGCGACACCCGACCCAGCCCGGCCAGGGGACCCTCAGGGGACGTGTTACCCATCGGTGCCTTCCACGGGGCCAGAGCCAAACCCCGGGGCGGGGGGCGGGGCCCGGGCGGAGGCCCCACCTCCAGGCCGTGGTCGCGCGAGTGCACCGCGCTGATCTCCACGGCGTGCAGCTGCTCCAGCGTCAGCTGCCGCGCGTACAGGTGCGCCACGACGCGGTGCGGGCCCTCGGTCAGGTGCGAGCTCAGGTAGTCGGCCTCGGTGAGGCGCAAGCAGCCCAGGCCCAGGCCCAACACCCGGTTCAGGCCGTCCTCCAGCGACCAGAAGCGCCGGTCCACGAAGCCCCCGGGGAAGCCCAGCAGCCCGTCGAAGCGCATCTGCATCTGCAAGGGAGCGCGGATCACGGGAACGCGGGTCACCGGCGCCGGAATGACGGACGCTCCCAGCCCGGCCCGCGCCCACGCCTGGACCCGCGCCCGTTCTCACCAGCACCGAGAAGCGCATGGGGATGCGGCCGAAGAGCTGCCCGGGGTTGGCGGCGTACAGCATGGCGTGGCACGAGTGGCTCCAGCCGGGCCCCAGACGCATCGCCTCTACCCGGCTGATCTGCTTCAGCTCCGGAACCGCCGCGGTCGACATCTTGGCACTGACCCCGTCCCCGCCGCTGCCACTTAAGAGCATGCGCGAGCCCGCCCCCGCTGCACTCTACCAATCCGCCGACGGCCGCGCCCCCGGGTCCCGCCCCCACGCCAATCGCCGGCGTGGCCCAGGGCCGAGCCCCCCCGCAGCGTCGCGGCGCGTAGTTGAGAAGCGCAGGGGGCGGTGTGCAAAGGAAGGCGGCGCGCGTCAGCCGTCACCCAATAGTCGCACACCCCGGGCGGCGACCCCGCCCAACCGTCACCCAATAGCCGCGCACCCCGAGCGGCAGACCCGCCTCCGACAGGAGCACTAGGTCGACTGCTCCGTGCCATAGTTGGGTCAAGGTTGACACTGTAGGCGACAAACGTCTTCCTGGGCGCCCCAAAGCTGACACCCGAAAATCCCTGCGGTTTTTCTACCCTGGATACCGCCGATCCCCTTGCGCTCACCCGTTTCTCCCCGGGGCCTGACCCGGCCCGCTGGCCCCGCCCATTCGCAATGGCGCTCTCGGCACAACCATGCTAGCCAGCAACGCCCCGGAATCTCCCTCCGCCGACGCCCCGCACCCGAGCCCAGAGGGAGACGGCCTTCGCCTGCCACCCACGACAGCTGTCCCGCCACCGGGAGCAGGGCCTGGGAGGGCTTGAGTACCCTAGTCCCTGAGTCCAGGATCAGGGCGGAGGACCAGAAACTCGGGCTCCGTGGACTCAGCTTGCTGGGCAGAAAGTGACTTAAATTCCGGGGCTGGCGCTTTTCAGGATCCTCCAATCCGGGCACCCTGTGCCAGGTACTGTGCGGAGGAGGGGGAGGGAAGAGGGGTTTCCCCAATTTACGATGAGGAACTTGGGGCTCAGAGAGGGACAGAACTTGTCTAATTGCACCCAGCAGTTGGTGACAGAGGCACGATTCCACCCCAATTCCACAAAGGCCTGAGGTACTTACCCTGTATCTGTACTGGAGAAGTCAGTCTCTGGGGCTCAGAAACATAAACAGCCAAGGGAGAGTGAGGTCCCCGGAACTCCACGATGGGGAGGCTCACCTCAGCAGCAGCAGGGCCCACTCCTCCCGACCGGGGAAACGGATTTGCTGAGCATCGCCCTCGGAGAGCTGTGCAGTGAGGCCAAGCTCGCAGGCACAGAGAAAGCTGCCTTGAGTGGAGCCAGACAGGAGAGAGGTGGACAGTGGGTAGGCACTGGAAACTCACCTGTTAGGTCCATGGCGTCGTCAGATGTGAAGAATAAAGCCATAGAGAGGACACCTCTCTCTCTTGCTGTGGCCACCAGTGAAGATGGTCACACGGGTCAGCTGCAGCCAGCAAGGGAAGCCCCGATTCCAGGGTAAGCAACCATGTTAGAAAGTGAGAGGGCAGCAAGGGGAAGGGTCCTCCCACCCAAAGAGGGCCTGACCCCTTGACAGCCAAGCCAAGCCAGAGACCCAGAGCCCAGGGTCCTTGAGACGCATGGGCACTGGAGAGGAGGCTCCCGTTGCTCCAGCCCCTCCCTGACACCAAACACCAATAAAAGTGCTGGGTCTGTTGGGAGGTAGAGGGGAGCCGATCTGGCCCGTGCAAGCACCCGTCTGACACTCCTCCACCCACAATGGGATGGGGCCAGACCCAGGCCTGTCAGAGCAGCTGCAGGGCCCATGGGTGGCAGCCTTCTTGAGGGACTGATGGGCCAAAACACGGGCACCCCCTCCACCCTCAGGGTCTTCAGTCGAAGGGCATGGTGGCAGCTTGACCTGTGTGCAAAGGAGCTGGGGCCTGGAGTGGTAGGCGGTGGTGTGGTGGCTGCCCTGGTGCACTGGACACTCCCTGGGCACGGGAGCAGGGGCTGTGCAGAGGCCTGGAGCTGGGCTCTAGCCCTGGAGCCCACAACCTTGGGTGGCCAGACCTGCTCCGGCCGTCCGGGCTCCACATGCCAGCTGTAGGGCAGCGGCACTGCCCCTCTGCTCGAAAACCTGTTCTTAAAACTGACTCCCCCTTAGGTGGAGGTTGCAATGAGCAAAGATGCACCACCACTGCACTCCAGCCTGGGTGACAGTAAGACTCTACCTCAAAAAACAAAACCAAAAAACCTGACTCCCCCTAATAAAAACACTCCAGTACCCTCTACAAGATCTTCAGTAGCTATCCAGCACCCTTCACTCCCACCAGGGGCTCTGTCCCCAGGGGACACACCAGGCTCACTACTGCCGCATGGAGCACTCCGAGGCCAGCTCCTCCTCAGCCTTCAGGGCTGTTTAAGCCGCAGGCTCTCCCTGCCGCCCAGTTCAATGAGTCCCTTTTAAGGTTTCGTCTCACCGCCACCCTTTCTTCCTAATAGCATCCAAACCTGGCAACGTTCTGATTAGCAGCTGGGTGTCTCACTGCCTGGAATGCAGGCGCTTGGGGTCCGGGCCTCAGCTGTTCTGCTGCCACTGGAACACACCAGGTGCTCAGCAAGATGGGAACAGGAGCAACAACTCTCACACCTGCAGGCCCCGGGCTACCACACCACCTGTTCAGGAGACAGCCCGATCTGGAGGGTATGGCTTCCCTCTAACCAGAGGAAAGCCAAGACAGGGCTGGCTGAGAGCCAGCGTTCTCATTAGCCCTCACCTTGCTGACTGCCCTGACACCGGAGGGAAGCCAGGCAGAGGCCATGAAGCTGCCAGGCTGTTGGAGCCAACCCAACCACCCAGTGGCCCAACTCCGGGTCAGGAAACAGCCACTGTCCTGAGGGCTGTGCCCAGACGAAGGAACAGACAGTATATTGCTGCGTGATTTTATTACTATAAATATACAGTAAAAACAAACGGGCCCATGTGAGCACATCAAATGGCAGCACGTATGAGTCCCAGCGGGCCATTCTGCAGCCCGAACTTCACGCACAGCCCTGGCACCAGCACTGACAGCCAGAGGCTGGGGCCTTGGCGGAGCGGGAGGAGAGGTGGGGCTGTGGGGTGGTGCGTTGGGGAGAGGCGCGTGGGGAGATGCCCGGGCCGAGTGCACACACACGTGGGAGCATATGCGTATGTGTATGCGTGTGCGTGGGAGCATGTGTATGCGTGTGCAAATGTGCCTGAGCATGTGTGCGTGAACGTGGGAGCATGTGTATGTGTGAGCGTGTGTATGAGCATGTGCAAGTGACTGTGCATAAGCATGTGTGCGTGAACGTGAGAGCATGTGTGTGCATGTGCACAAGGGCAGGAGGGGGGCTGGCCTGGGTGCACAGGGAGCTGGGTGTGGGGACCACTGCTGGATCTCCCCTGAGAGCCCAGGAAGCAGAGCTTGTGCTCGGAGCCACCTGAGCCTCAGGGAGGGCAGTGAGCTGCCCCACAGCCATCTGATCCCCAGGCCGGGCTGCAGGGCAACCTCCCCGCCCGGGCCAGAAGACCTGCACATACCTTCCTGGCCCAGGGCCCTGCTGGGGCGGCTCGATCCCTGGGTCACCAGGGCCAGATACCCCCTTCACCTGCCTGCTGCTCAGGTGGTTTACCTTAATAAAAACAGGACGAGGTCGCCCAGAGGCCAAGCCTCCCGGCTGTGACCTCACTCACCAGGTGGGCTGCTGGCTCCCTCCTTCCCGGCTGTGACCTCACTCACCAGGTGGGCTGCTGGCTCCCTCCTTCCCGGGCGGGTCCCACCACGGGAGCCTGACACAAGTCAAAGAGAACTGCAAGAGGGCCAGGCGCAGTGGCTCATGCCTGTAATCCCAGCACTTTGGGAGGCCGAGGCGGGTGGATTGCCTGAGGTCAGGAGTTCGAGACCAGCCAGACCGACATGGTGAAACCCTGTCTCTACTAAAAATACAAAAAAATTAGCCAGGGTTGGTGGCATGCGCCTGTAATCCCAGCTACTCGGGAGTCTGAGGCAGGACAACCACTTGAACCTGGGAGGTGGAGGCTGCAGTGAGCGAAACCATGCCACTGTACTCCAGCCTGGGCGACAAAAGTGAAACTCCATCTCAAGCAAAAGAGAACCGCAGGGGACATTCCAATAGCAAAGGGGAACGAGGCGGCCACCAGGTCCTCCTTGACAGGGCGCTGCCGAACAGATAGCCCTGCAACTGGAGGTGCTTGGCGATGTCACCAAAGCCAGCACGGTGAGAAGGTGCGGGGCTTCGTAACAAGGCCACTGGATGAAGGCTGCTGGAAGCGGCTGTGCCTCGGCCCCTCAGTCAGGTCCAGTGCTAGGCTGAGATGCTTTAGCTGCCCAGAGCAACACCCGTGCACCCCAAAGCTCTGAGCACTGAAGGCGCCAGCAGAGACACACCAGGGAGGGCATGGAGGCTGCATAAACACGGCAGAGGACAAAAGGCAGCAACAGCCAGGCTGCCGCGGTGACACAGGCGGGCTGGGCGGACAGGCACTGTTTCCTTCACTGACCACGCGTGCCTCGAGCCCCCACCGCCCCCGAACATCTGTGAAGATAGTGCTTCACCCACCAATAAATTCTCTTGTGCAGGTCTGCTGAGTTCTCTGGGCAGTGACTGCACTGCTGCGGGACCGGGTGTAGCCAGCGCAGGCCACGTGTGGGCAGCCCCAGCCCCAGACACTTGGCCCACCAGACCCTGGGGAACCGAGGAGCTGAACTCAGGATGGAAAGCTGCTGTCCTTCATCTTGTACCAGTTACAAATATATCAACCATAGAAAAGGGGGATTCAGGGGACGGTCCACTGTGCTCTTTGATCAAGGGTCACCACAGCCCCTTGGAGCCTGGTGGCCACAGGGGACATGCAGACAGGAGAGGCCGAGTCACACCGGGGTCTGGGGCAGCCCCTTGGCAAAGTCTAGGGAGCTGAGGGCTCCATGCTGCCAGCTTGGCCAGGCTCTCAGAGTGAGGTCAGCTCGGCAGCGCTGGGATCGGGGCTGGGGCCACCAAGAGGAGGCCAGGTGGGGCTGGTGGTGCCAAGGCTGTGGGCCATTTCCATGGAGGTGGGCCATCCTGTAGGCAGGAGCAGAGGGAGAGGGAGGTGGGTCACACTCAGCTGCTTGGTCCCATGCCACCCACTCCTACCAACCTGAAGCCACACAGGGGTGGGCCACCCAGCACCCCCACTCCCACCACCTGTCTGTGACCAGAGCAACAGATGGGGCCTCCCCAGCCCTGCTGAGCACAGTATGTCCCTCTCAGGCAGATCACCCCACAACCCTGGACACTGGACACATCACCCCTCATCCTGGGACACCAGGCAGATCACCCTGCACCCCCGGACACCAGCAGCAGAGCTGCAGCCCCGAGTCAGAACACAACATGGCGCTGTGGCTTCTGCCCTCTGGGTCTCCTGCCCTCCCCCTGGTTCCAGTTTCCTGGGATGTGACCACCCGCTGTCCTGCCAAGGTCTTTATGGCTGGGTTAGGCTAGAACTCAGTCAAACCAGGGAGGAGGGGCGGGGAGCAGCCCTGAGCAAGAACAATCCTGTGCTCAGAGTGGCCCCATGGTGGCTTCTGTGAGGCAGAGAAGCCTCCCACAGAGCCCCGACGCTTGCACTGTGGCTTCTACACTGCCGCCAGGCGCTGTCCCCCGATGGGTCTGGCATCCCTGGGGCTTGGTTAACGGTGCTGGTGCTGAGCCTGGGACAGGGCCAGCACAGCCTCAGGGCTGCCCAACATCCAGCCACCAGCCCTGACGCACGGCTCCCAGTAGACACGGCCCGGCCCCACTCTCAGGTGAAAGACGGTTATCTTCTTCGGGGGCTGCGGCCTGCAGCGAGACCGGAGTCAGAGGCTGTGAGCCTGTCCCAGACCACACCTGCACTCCCACCTCTGGAAGCTTAACCGGAGCCGTAACATTCGAACAGCACCGTCCACCGACGCGCAGGCCGGGGCCCTCTGAAAGGTGCGGGTGGCCTTTCAGTCAAGGGGTATGACAGGTCAGGAGAGGGGTCCACAGAGGGACGCGCTGGGACGCAGAGTGCAGTCAAAACAAGCACGGCTCCCAGGCCCAGCTCAAGTCCACCCAAGGGGAAAGGGCCTCTGGGAGCCTGGACCCTGGCCGGGCACTTCCCAGCGGGCCGCACGGGACTTGCCCGACGATGGCTGCGGTCGTGTGTGGGAGCCCTGGGCTCAGAGCACCGGCAGCCCCTTAGCAGACCAGAGCTGCAGGCGGCTTGTGCGCCCAGACCCTTCAGGAAGGCAGAGGCCCCAATCTGCCTGCCTACCTGGAGGTGGGGTGGGTGTGTGTGTGTGTGTGTGTGTGTGTGTGTGTGTGTGTGTGTTCGCGTGTGTATATTTTCTGTTTTTGAGACAAGGTCTCAGGCTGGAGTGAGCCTTGACCTCCCCACCGCCCCAGCTCAGGCAATGTTCCCACCTCAGCCCCTCTTGAGGAGCTGGGACCACAGGCATAAGCCACCAAGCTCAAGCCAATTTTTTAATTTTTTGTGGAGGTGGGGGTCTCACTATGTTTCACACACGACTTTGAAATCCTGGGCTCAAGTCATCTAACCCCTTGGTCTCCCGAAGACCTGGGATGACAGGTGTGAACCAGTGCCCGGCCAGAGCGGCTTCGGTCAAACATCCACCTGGGCCACCCTGGTAGAGAGTGCCTCTTGTGGGGGATGAGGGGGCCTCTTGGGAGGGAATGGGGATGCCAGCCTCACAGGGCCTCCTATCACACTCAGTGCTGGTGTTCCAGAAGGTTCCAGTACTGGCAGGGACAGATGAGTCCGCAGCAATGGTGGGCTCGAAGCAGAAAGGCAGCCCACAAGGGACTGTCTGCCAGGCCCACGGGGGAGCAGGCAGCTGTGTGAGTGGATGCTCTCCCCTGGCACCAGAAGGCCCCTCAAGGACACACTCCCTCCAAGAGACGGGGACTGAGCTTGGGAACAGGTGATCCCAGGCTCTCCCAGCCTGGGGCGCATTCTTTTCCCCATGATTTATTACTTAAAGCCATGTCCAGAAAATGGGAGTGACCTGCTGCACACCCAATGGGAACTCGAGGGGACCATCCGGAACAAGGCTGGGCCTGGGCCTGAGGCTCTCCCCTCCGGAAGTGTCGCCCTGCGTCTCCCTGGGGTTCCCTCCATGCTCCTGCCTCCTGTGGGGGACAGTGGCTCTCGCACACCTGGGCTGGGTCTGTCTCCCTGCCTGGGCTGGGACTATTCCAGGGCCCCTCAAGGCTGGAAGAAGATCCTGACCAGCCACCAGGTCCAGATGGAGAGACCTCTGGCTCTAAAAAGTTAGGACCCCTCAGGAGGCCACTTTCTGGGGCAAAGGTGCAGCAGCCACCAGAGCTCTGGATTCAGAACCCAGGACCCCTGGGAAGACATGGATGTGGATGAAGACCTGAAAACCAGAAGGAACCCCCGCCAGAGACCAGGGGAGGGCTCCTCTCTCCAAGGACGCGCATCAGAGCCCCCGAAGCGCGTCTGGAAGGTCACGTACCGGCTTACTCGTCTATACCAACAGAGCAGGAGTCAGGCCCCAGGGCTGCGCGGAGAGGGGAGAGACAGACGGAAGCTCAGTTAGCACGCACGCAGCAGCTGGCACCACCACAGCAAGGGCACCAGCCTGGGGACCAAGGTCGGGGCCATCTAGAAACAAACGCTGTGCTACAACCACAGAGAACCGCAAGGAGAACCACAGCTGGGAGGTGAAGCATGGCCAGAATCCAACTCAGAGGAGTACCTGGCCCTGCCTCTCCCTCCTGCAGCTCCCACACGGCAGCCGAGGGAAGGGCGCAGGAAGGACAAAGCAGGCGCAGTCCATCTCTGGGTTCAGGAGGGAAGGGCCTGGGCAGGGGCTGGGGCTAGACAGGGCTGAGCCAGGGGAAACCCTGAGACACCAGGACCCTTGGTGTTCACCATCTCATGGGCCCTCCCATCTACAGGGACCCTAGGGTT